ACTGTTGCCTTCCTAGAGTGGGATTGACATCTGGATCAACGGGACATTGTTTTTGGGCAGCTTTGCACTTCTGCCTGCCTTGTGCTGGTTCTTCCTCATCATCTTCCTTCTCTGGCACCTCATCTTCACCCTCATTGTCCACCTCCATCCTGTGTGAGCTCTCCACTATCATTTGCTCCACCTCTGCCTTGGTTGCTTTCTGTTTTCCTTTGTCACTCATAGGCATTTTGGTCTCTCGAGTGGGTGGTGTTGGTGTTGGCACCACATGGGGCATAGGGATGCCTAACCAGTGCTAGTTGTATTGATGCTCAATGATGTTGAGCCACTTGTGGTTGGCAACATTGGTTTTGGAAGGGGATAGGTTGGTCTTCCACTCAGGCCATGGGAGCTCAATTGAGCCAAGGTCTTCATGCCACTTTAAGAATGTGTCAACACTGATGAGGGTCATCAGAATCTCATCCATCCTAGCAATGAGGTTGGATACAGCATCCTGAATGCATCAGTTAGTGAAAAAATGTGATGATGCTATGACACACTAGTTCATCATTTATCACCTTGATGGCACCTCTCCACTTCACAATCTTGTCCACCTTTCCCAGCTTGCTGCTTTCCATGATATCCTTGAAGTAAATTTGTAGGATGTGGTTGGCTGCAGCATCAAGCTCAGGTGATTTCCCAAAGAGCCTGCAAGATGATGATGATGATGACATGTTTCCGATGATGAGATGATGGAGTAGTTTGATGGTGACTGTGGTGATGGTGCATGGAGAGTGGAAGAGTTAGAGGTTAAAGACAGACAACAAGATACATGGATGTTGCATTTTTTTATCCTGCCTATGAATGATTCCCATGGCATGATGGCAATACCAGTATGAGTCAATAATCCTGAATGCATATATGAAGCAGAGGCTCAGATAAAAATATGATGTGTTGTTCTGGAATAGCATTGCTGTTTGTTTTGTGTGTTTCCCATCTGCTCCAATGGCAGAGCCTGGCTCACAGCACATAGACCAGTGCCTGAGATTCCAACCAAATAGGCAAATCATCCAACATGAAACACAATTTATAGGGGGAAATTCAGATACTCTATAGTGTGAGAGGTTCCACTTTCTTCATTTCTTGTCTTCCTGGGCCTGTCTTATATTGTGACAGGGGGATAACCCAATTATGGATAGGCCCATCCATTTGTGGTGAGCTATCTATGATATGATGGATTGGCCTGTCTTATGCAGTGCCAAGGGTTTGTAATCCTGCAATGGATGGATTGGCCCATCTTATGTTGTAACATTGTTTTTTTTTTCCCTTATCTGCTGCCTGAGAATACCATGGATGGGCCTGTCCTTATGTAGATCCATTTGATCTCCCTTTCTGCTGCCTGAGAATACCTTACATGGACTGTCCTTATGTAGATAGCTTGGATCTCCCTTTCTGCTGCCTAAGAATACCATACACAGACTTGTCCTTATGTTGTGACAGGGGTGCATCTTGCTAGATGGGCCCATCCATTTGTTGTGATGATACACATGATACTACTGAAGGGCCTGTCCTTATGTTGTGATGCTATTAGATGATATTACTGACAGGCCCATCCATATGTTGTGGCAATATAAACAATACTACTGAACAGCCTTTCCTTATGTTGTGATGCTATTAAACAGCATTACTGATGGGCCTGTCTTTATGTTTCAACAGGGTACATCTTACTGGGGCCAGGCTTGCCCATATGTTGTGACAATATAAATAATACTACTGAAGGGCCAGTCCATATGTTGTGAGGCTATACATGAGATTACTGATGGGCCTGTCTTTATGTCTTGTCAGAGGTACATCTTACTGTGGATGGGCCCATCCATATGTTGCATAATATACTACTGATGGGCCCAACCTTATGTTGTGACTCTATTAAATGATACTAGTGATGGGGCCATCTTTATGTTTCAACAGCAGTACATCTTACTGTCAACAGGCCTGTCTTTATGTTGCAACAGGGGTATGGCTTATTATGAATGGGCCTGTCTAGATGTTGTGACACCATAAATGATATTACTCCTGGGCCCATCCATATGTTTCCAACTTTGTATTCTAATCATAGACAGGCCCATCCTTATGTTGTGACCCTCCCCATGTTATGATAGGCAGTGTCACACACCAAAGATGTTTGGTGAGGTGGACATGGATACAGCTGATGAATGGAGATGAAGACCATAGCCCTCATGTGAAGAAGGACAGCCAGAAATGTCAGCAGTCATCCCTCACACAAGAATGAGCTGTCAGTGCCAAAGAAAAAGAAAGGGAGTGAGTTAAGCACCAGTTAAAATTCTTAAGTGCCTGTGTATGGCATTCTGGTTTTCAACATATCTCTGCCATTTCTGCAGATACTGAGACCATTCCCACACTCACTTGTAGTGCTCAGCCACACAGTCCTACCTTCCAAAATTGGCAGGGATTTGCACACTCCACACATTTCTACAGCACTCCCTCCAAAAGATGCTCATTTTGCTAATTCTTCTGATATGGCCACCTCCATGTCAATCATTTTGCTTCTCCCCTTTGCTAGGGACCATGGCTACATATATCTACCAGGTGTTCCTACCAGCTTGCATCCTGAAGCATCCTGGTACATCCCACCCTCATCTGCCCTCTCTCAGCCCATCCAGCTTGGACAGCATGTTCTTTTTGTCAGTATGATCTCTAGGAGGACATTCTTTGGTTGCCTCAGGTCTGTCATTTGCTTGGAAAGGTCTTATGTGGTTGTTTCAGTCTCTCCAGTCCAAGAAGCATATGGATCCTTCCTCCCTGCTCCCTGCCACATCTTCATACCAGACTCATCCATTGTTCTTCCAAAATTGCCACAGCTACAGTATAATCTGCTGTTCTCCACTCTCCCTGATTGCATCCATGATGAGTATGATGCACATCTTGCCTCCTTGTTGCAAGATACAGCAGAAGACACTCCCCCTTCATCCTCTCTTCCAACAGGGCCTTGTTCATGAGGTTTTTATTTGCTTCACTGAGAGGATGGTTTGGGAGGGAAAGTTGCAATCCCCTATGCTCCTGTCACCCCACAGACCTCCAAAGCTTGACCCCTGTTGACATCTGACTCACCCTGTCCACTTTCGGATGTACTATATCAGCATCAGATCAGTGCTGCCTCTCTGTCATCCCACCTTAGCCTAGAAGTGATCTCTTTGAGATGTGAGATGCAGAGCCTCCCCCTAATGCGATTCAAGTGCACTTTCCCAGTTCCTGACATTACTTGGCTCATACTTTGACATTCTGACTGTCTTTGACTCACCTATTGCCAATACTTACCAATCTTTTGACTTTGCTTACTGATTCTTCACCTTTTGGCTTGCTTATCCTTACCAATGCTTACCAATGCTTTCCAAGATGATTACCCATTGCTTACATTCCTTACTCATCAGTTACCAATCACTTACCAAGTATTTGCACCTTGTATTCCATAGGCAATTCCCCTGTACTGTATATAAGTCACTGTACTTAGATAGCTGGGAAAAAAAAGAAGAAAGAAGAAGATGTCAGAGAGCCCCTCTTGCTCACATTTTTATCATCACTCAGTAAATCCTCCATCAGCTTTGATAGTTGAGACTTTATTGAGGGTCTAACTATTGTCTACTTTGCTTATTATCATCTATCATCAATCTACTTTGCTCCAAGTCCTCCCTGAGCTCAGTGCAGCTCAGAGCATTGAATTAAGTCATCATCCATCCTTCTGTAGGCTGACAGCAGTCTACCCTATCACATTCTCTTGCATTCCTTCTCCTTCATCATCAGGAGCACCCCCAACCCTCACCACTTGTCTTTGAGTGTTATAGCTTGCAAAAACCCTCCCAAAGAACAGGTTCTACCATCTAGGTACCACATAGGCACACCACCACTCACTCTTTTTGTCTTTTGTGTTGGTTTTGGTTGGTTTTCACCACTGATCCACACTTTGACTCACAGTGGGCCCACCTTGATGTTGTGACAGGGGTGTAACCCACCAGGACAGGCCCATCCATGAGCCCATGCACCTGGTTAGGCCATATGAGATGGTCAGCAGAGGTTGAGCCCATGTATGGCTTGTGCATGTGTGTTACATGAGAGCCATGAATGTATTGTCACCTTGTAGTATGGGAGAGCCCAAATGATGAGTGTCACCATGTAGTACAGCTGAGCCTGAGAGGAAATGTTGTCATGAGGAATGGTGCAGCTGTGGTTTGAATTGTCATTGTCAGTTACAAGCAGGCTGGGGAGTGAGTGTCATCATGGACTATGGGAGAGCCCAATAAATGAGTGTCACCATAGCATACAGCTGAGCCCAAGAGTAGGAGTCATTATGGAGAATGGCTGGGCAGAGGTTAGAATTGTCATCATAGGGTACAAGCCAGCTGTGGGATTAGGGTGTAGCCACTGCAATATGAGTAGCCCCAGGTAAGCCCAGAGTTGGGTGTCCCCAGAAGGTATGGATGGGCTCAGCCCCTGAGTTCACCCCTGGCAACACTGTCATGCAAGCCAGCCCAACACCAATGCCATGCTAGCCATCCTGGCAACACTGCCATGTGGGCTGACCCACCACCTATGCCATGCAGGCCATCCTGGGATGAATGTCATGTGAGCTGGGCCAACACCAATGCAATATGAACAGGCCCAATACCAATGCCATGTAGGCCAGCACAACACCAATGCCATGCTGGCTGTCCTGGCATAAATTCCACATGGGCAGACCTAATACCAATGCCATTCAAGGCATCCCAGCACTGATGCAATGTGAGCCAGGCCAACACCAACCCAGGGCTAATGCCATGGAAGCTGTCCTGGCCATCACTGATTTAATGTGAACCAGCACAATGCTAATGCCATGGAAGCCATGCTGGCACCAATGCCACATTGCCACTGCCATGGGGCCATCATGGAAGCTGTCCTGGCACCAATGTATTGTGAGCTGGCACTGGCACCAGGTCCATGTGTTCCAGCACATCCCCAATGCCATGGGGCCATCATGCAGGCCATCCCAGCACCATTGGAATGTGTTCCAGCACAACACCAATGCCATGGAAGCCATCCTGGAACCTATGCCATGTGTTCTGGCACATCTCCAATACCATGAGGCCTATTGTGCAGGCCATTCTGGCACCATTGTAATGTGTACCAGCACCAGACCAATGCCATGGAGGCCAGCCCAGCACCAGTTCCATGTATTCCAGCATATCCCTAATGCCACAGGTCCATCATGCAGGCCATCCCAGCACCTTTGTAATGAGTGCCAGCACATCCCCAATGCCATGAGGCCATCATGCAGGCCATTCCAGCACCATTGTGTTCTGGCACAACACCAATGCCATGGAAGCCATCCCAGCACCTATTCCATTGTAATGTGTTCTGGCACAATACCAATGCCATGGAAGCCACCCCAGCACTGGTTCCATGTATTCTGGCATATCCCCAATGCCATTAGTCCATCATGCAAGCCATCCCAGCACCATTGTAATGTGTTCCAGCACAACACCAATGCCAGGGAAGCCATCCCAGCACCTATGCCATATGTTCCAGCACATCCCCAATGCCATGAGGCAATCATGCAGGCTGTCACAGCACCATTGTAATGAGTTCTGGCACATCCCTGATGCCACAAGGCCATCAGTCAAGCTGTCCCAGCACCAATGCCATGAACACCATCCCAGTGCCAATGCCATGAAGGCCTGCCCAGAAATTATACCATACCATGCCTGACCTGCCTGACCTCCCAGGAGCAGGTCCACAGTGTATGTATGTACTGGTACCAGTACCATGCCAGAGATGCATGTATTACTGCAATGGAGGCTCTGGTAATGACCAGAAGACTAGCCAACTACCCAGTACATTTAAACTGTGAATTCAATGCCTTACAGCCTCCAGCAAGCTAGAACAATACCATGAAAGTCACCATCATGCTATACAGCAAAAACAATTGAGTTATGCTGGCCAGTCATCATTCAATCATTTAGGTGAACCATGACTCCATTGGCCCTTAGTGCTTGTAACACCATGGCCTTGGTACAGACATCACCATACCAGATTGGTTTTCCAGTATCTGAATCATACAGTAACAACTACCAGCAGGGGTAGCTACTTCTTCCTGGAGATCACATTTTGACAATATAGAATATATTGCTGCATCTAACAAAGTACAAGTACAAAGACAAAAAAACATGAATGGATTGTGAAATGACATGTACATTGATGTTAGTTGACCTCCATCCTACCTTCCTGTTGAGGCACTGATCTGACTGCTGGTGATGGTGGAGTAATAGACATTGCCAGACCTCCAGCAGGTCCATGCACAGGTTCAACATTTGAAGGAGGTACTTCCAAGCTGGCACCTCCCTCAAATGAAGCTGGGGGGGGTTCAGTGGACTCCTGTCTTGAGCCACTTTGGGATGATTGAACCTCTACAACACCAGTTGCAGTGCCAAGTTCCACCATGACTGGCATGTGAGGTACCAGTGTAGGGTTGGAAGTAGGGTGAAATGGGACCAGAGGATGGTTAAGCATGTCTGGGGCTGGTAATAGGTAATTACAGATAGCATCTACCACCTGATGGAGAGCAGCAAGCTCAGTATGGGTTACTTCTATCTCCCACCTCATGTCAGCATTCTCCTGCTTGAGGATGGTAACCTCTCCCAATACTCATCACAATGACATGGATCATTGGCACTGGTTGTAGTAGCTGGTGCTGGAGTGATGGGTGTGTCTATTGCAATGCTTCTTGCACAAGACCATGACCAGGATAGCCATGACAGAGTAATAGTTTCCACTACTCAATAGAAATATTAGTTCAACTGATTAGTGAAAAACATAGGACTGTGAATAACTTACTGGGGTGGCCAGTCTGTGGGCCAGGAGATGAATGATGGCTTGTTACTTTGGATGGACCAGCAGATTGATTTCAGCTTGGTGCCCTTTTATGTTTGGCTCATCAACTGGTTGATGGAGTTGGCACAGCCAGTGTTGAAGTGGTGGGAAGGTTGGTCATGTCTTCTGGGGATTGCTGCCAGTGAGGCCTTGAATGGGAGGCTTTTTGCTGCATCTTAGACTTGTCTCCCCTCCCCTTGAACAAGCTGCATGAGTATTTGGTACAGTGGCATTGCCAGCATGCCCTGCCAGCTAGCACTGTACAGGGCCAACTCCTGTCCCAGCATCTCACACACTGCTCAGCTTCTGGCACCACCTCCCAGGACTCAGGAGGGTTGTTGATGTCTCACCAGTCCTGCACATCCTCATCAACTGCTGGTTTTTCCTTCTTCATTGGTCTCCTTGACTGGCTTCAGCCTCTACTGGTCTGATCACTGGCATTGACAGGCTTGGCCATTGGCCAGCCATTTCTTGACTGGCTATGGCCCCATGCCCTCTCCCTGTTCTGATCCTCCTCATTTCCTGGCTTCTGCATCACAACTCCAGTGGTCCTAGCTGTAGTGTCTGTGGGTGCATTGTCCCAAATTTCTTGGGCATGTGACAATGCATTATAAAGACATTTCAATGGTGGTTGCCGGCGGATTCATTATAATGCATGCTAATGGTGAATGATTACTTGATCATGTTATGACAACACGGCCCAGACCCTATTGTCATGACCCCAATGCACATTATTATTGTCTAATAATGGAAATTCTGTGACATAAACATGTCATGACAACATGGCACAAACCCTATGGAATACGGCGTTGTCATTGAGTGATAATGTCATGATAATGGAGCACTGGCATCATTATCACTACTTGTTATGGCAATTACAACCAGACAATATTTCGTTGGACGACATCTCGATGACATGACAATGCGAGTGTTCGACATTTTGATGGCACACAATCCATTAACATCAAGCTAATATTGCCTGGTTTCTATACCATATAGCAATTACAGAAATCATATTACATGCTAATATACACAAAATCAGCACTATAATATGATCTAATGCATGAGGTGGGTCAAGGGGAACATCGTCATTATGAAAACTCAGGGCTGGGATGCTGCTATCCTCATTGTCGCCAGATGAGGATAGAGGTGGTGTTGATACACCGGGACTTGGAATGGCCATCATCGTCGGGAGCATAAGGGATGCTGCGTACTGACAATAGAAGGACCACATGAAGATAGCAGCAGTGATGGTACCCGTAACCAATGGAATCGATGCAAGAAGACCAAACATGATAGCACTGAGCGACACTTGGCTGAGAGGCTGCAACGACCACTCCAAGGGCTGACACAGGCAAGCGGGTACCACTGTCATGGCTGCGCCTTCCAGAGGTAAGGCCATCTGAAGACAGCTCACCTGCGGAGAGGTTGTAGACAGCAGGGGAGAAATGCCATTCTCCAGGGGCATGTAAGGACGACCAGGGGAGGTAGTGATGTATGAGGACGTGTAAGAGTACTCGCCAATGGTGTTGGACAGGTTCAGCGAGTCAAAGCCGAGACAGGGGGAAGATGAAGAGGGGCCGGGCACTGCCATAAGGTGATGTAAGCTACAACAATGATGGAGGATCTGATTCGGGCTTACAAGACATGGAGGAGACACCATAGGGGGACTGTGGGTACTGGAGATAGGCCTCGAGGTTGAGGGTGTCATAGGCGAAGGGGGCATCGATGAAGTTGGGTTGGAAACAGCACAATGAGTGCACCTAAAATCTTGTCACAATCACCAAAGAGATCTGGAGGTAGGGGGAAGCAGACAGGCTCAGGAGCCACATGAAAATGTACAACATGTGCATATGCACACATGGTGGTACCAACTACTGAATCGATGTTATCGTAGCCCAATGCGACATTGCTACCAAGCAATATTGTGACTAGGCAAGAGTGGCGTCATTGTTGGGTGGAGAGGAGGCGTCGTTCCATCATTGGGTGAGGCTAAAGCTGGAGCGGTCGTCATCATTGTCTGCCAAGGCTGAGGGCAGTCTCATCGCTGGGATGGGGATCCCAGATGTTATTGTCATTGGGACAAACTGGGGTACTAGGTCAGATGCAGCTGGGGTAGAGGAACAAAAATAAGAGATAAAGATTAAAAAATAAAAAAGGAACTGACGGACTTGCTAGAGCTGGAGTGCTGGCATCAATATGCTGTGGCAGAGGGTCATCGAGAAAGGCCAGGGATGGTGACAGCCATTGTTGTGGAGGCTGGGGATGGGGATGGCAATTGTTAAGAGGCTGGGGATGACTGTCGTCATCAAGGCTAAGAGCGATACTGTTGCCAACACTAGAGCATGGACAAATTATAAAATACCTGACAATCATTCTGTATCAATAATGATACAATGAATTATGGTGCAGTAACTTACTGAATGACTCCATGAGAGTCTGAAAGGCGTCGATGCTTGTGAAGTTATGTTAATAGCCTTGTAATTAATGGAACAAGTCATGAACATGGTGACGGAACGAGAACAAGAAATGAACATGTGGCTATGCTGCTTGATAATGTACCAACCAGGTTTGGTAATGAGTTGACAATATCCTAAGTACCATAGTCGTTGTAGTTCAGACAGCAAATACAGGCATTTTTTGTCACCGAAATCCAGAGGACAAAATCACATTTAAAATCGTAATTCTACGCTCGCAAAAATGTATATGAAGTATGCGGGAAGGCAACAGCCTTAGATCTTAGACAGTGAGAAAGGTACTAACAGAATTGGCATGACCCAACCACTATTTCTTTCCATGATTTGTCACTCTCGTACGGCATTTCTCCTGCAGTGGCTGGGTAATGAGAGGTGCATCAGCTGCAACAGGTGTGATCCTCTGCTTTGATGCTGCAGAAGTGCAGCGAGCAGAAGAAACGGAGCGTCCAGATTCAGCATCACCTGGGTCAGTAAGGGAAAGTCTTCCGACACCAAGGTGGACTTGAGTCGTAGCAGACAGCCTCGCATTACCTGCACCTTCGTGGGAAATTGAAGCTGATGCTTGATGGTTGACAGTCGTATCCTCCAGTACAGAAGTACTGGCACTGGGAGGTGGGCAAACAGTGGCTGCCATGTCAGGAGGATGGGAACCAGCCTGCAACTGTAGTGGGGACTTGGCTCCAGTGGAATTGGGGATCGAGAAAGGGGTGTCAGAATCCTGATCCATCTCCTCAAGAAGGTCATCTTCCCAGTTACATGGCTGAGGAGCTAAGTGAGTAGGCTCAAACTGTGGTGGTTGACGGGGAGGCTGTGGCCCAAATAAATCGTCATTAAAGAACTGCATGACTTCCCGTGACCATTTATTACGTTTGAAGAGTAGCCGGACATAAAAATTGAAATCATCGCGATATCGAATCTTTGTGTGGTTTCCTTCTGCATTGAGTTCTGTGTCATGAGTGAGCAAGTAGCATGCCTACCACGAAAATGTTATCATTAGCATTCCCTATATCATGGACACGATTTATGTTAGGACTTACCATGACGGTGAAACTAGCAATCATTCCCTCGGTGATGCTATTGACCTTCATAATTTCCCCTCTAGGCTTTGGCCCTCCCCTTTTCTTTGTGCCAAGCAGTGAACTCTTCCCCTTCAACAGAAGATGCGCCATCTATAAGCAGAGTAACTGAGTCAAATTAGAGAAATAGAACATGACAAACTTACTTTGACAAGTACCACACTCTTGAAAAGCGTGTCTGAGGTCATGTTGTGTGGATCAGTGAACAGAACTGGTGCGAGATGTTCATACTTGCCGTCGAGTTCAACATTTTCTGGGAGTTTCAACAAAATGAGAAGATCCTTGCTGGTAGCCTTCGAATCTTGGAGAGACTCTGAAAAGATATCGACAGGAAGTTTCAAAGATGAGAAGACAATGGAAGCGCTATCTTTAACTGCTTTGAGCAGGTTAGAACGTTCTGTATTGACATGGTGATGAAACTAATACAAGTCAAATACAATAGTTTAGCATGTATTATCCAGAAGATATGAGTTTAAACTTACTACAGTCTTGAACGCTTGGTATGTCTCCATCTGCTTATGGAGTTCTTTTGGAACTGCCTCATACAATTCTTCAACTGTCCCATCAGCCATCGCTTGAGGGGATGACCAACGCATGGGGCTGTGGGGATCGATGTTTGGTTTTCGAATTGTTGGGAAAATTGAATTGTCGATCCAGAAATTGTAGAACATCATATACTTCTTGGCAGCTTTGGCAATGGATTTATCGAGTTCGGAGGGTGCCTTTGTGGTACAATTGCGACTTCGAGCAGGGACTGTAGCTTGAAGGGCTACATAATCCCTGCATACACTTCGAAGCTCGTTCTGCGTCTCAAAATAAGCCTCTTGTACAAAGGAAAGTGCCTGAGAATAGATGTCAGTGATCATAGTAGATGGACATGAAGAAAAGGACCATACCTTTCTCAACTCTTGCACATCTGCAGTGGGACCTGGGACATGGAGGGCCCTCCGCATCTGCTCGAGGTCACTTCCAGAGTCAGAGCTATCTCCATGAGTCCCTTTGTCAGCTTGAGAATCATTGCCGCCATCAATGGCACCAATGCGGCTGGTGAAATCCTCCTCAGAGTCAGATTGGGGCATTCTGAAAACAAATAATTAAACTGGGGCAACTGGGAAAAACTGGTCGTGAGTCTGGGAGTGCCGTTGCAGAATGGAAAACATAGCTTGGACCAAGATCCTTATATATGTTTCCAGCCCGAAACCCGCTATCAGTTACGTCTTGAAGCAGCAAGGAAATCACATACCTTGATTATCGAGCGTTAGCTGTTAATGTAAAAGAGACACAGCCTGTAACATGTAAAGGTGTTGGATCGAAATGGAATAGTTGACCTCGATGCAGTAAAATGAGTTTGTGGTAGGATTCAGTTCTGGGTCATGTCGACTAAGGTCCAACAACATTCTCCCTCTGAATGGCATTGCTCAGCAAATATTAATACACACTGAGCCACCCTGCTTCCATGTTTTCATTCAAAGAAACATGTCACCGGGCCATGCATTTTTTCGTTGGGGCGAGTACTGTAGTTTCGCACTGCCCCCTTTTCTTGTATATCACGCACCATGTGTTTCCACAGGTGCACCTTCGGAAAGTCCCAATCTACCTTGAGACCTGGGATGGAAGAGTTCATTGCGCGCTCTTTGTATGCCTATGAAAGTGAACGTGACATCCGAGCGAGCTAACTAAAGCAATAGCATTTCAAATGGAGAGTCAAGACTCACCTGTAGCCTTTTGTTGAAAACAAGAAGCTCAGTTTCAATGGCAGAGAGCATGCGATCGGTTTGGATGTCGAGGCCGATCAGACTATCAAGTTGTAGATAGCTGCTGATAAGGCCAAGAAGGAGATATCCCTCGGGACATGCTGCCTTCATAAGGATACTTAATGTGGGATAAAAAACTTGCTATTACCAGGAAGTTACGTGTCAGCGAAACACCACGAAACATGGAGAAATCTGGCTCACAATAGATAGGTCAGCAAACTTATTCCCATCATTAAATGTCACCTTGAGGATGGCTGTGAAACAAAACAGTTTCCACCAGCATGGAAACTCCTTTGTACTGTTATTGTAGGGTAGATTAGTACATGCCAAAACTCAGAACAGAATCGAGCTCACAGTCGTTCAACCGTTGCTTCTGCATCACGTCCAAGGTACCTCAAAATGATCTTCAGATCTTCAAAGAGATGTTTTCCCCACAATCCCAGGTGGAGGACATGCAAGCGATCAAAACTCAGTGCCAAGTGAGGGTCAGAGTACCTGATATGCCAAAAGACATTCTTTTACCCTTAATAAACTTACTGTGAATGGGGGCTATGAGGAACATACGGGTACAGGACGCAGACCAAGTTTCTTGAGAATTGCTTCACCAGCAGCCTTACAATCGTTGTAAACTCACAATGCTTCCTCTCCTTGCCCTGCATTGCGAAGAGCAAAAGTCTTAGAAATGTCGTGGAGTAATTCAAGTGGCACGAGGCATATAGGGCATGGAGCCTTGCCATTCCAACCTTGAATTAAAGACATCATACATCTGTTGGTGCAATCATTCAATTAACTCAGAAACCGATTTGTTCATTGACTTACTGTTCCTCATAGTCCGCAGATAGTATCAAAAACAATGGGAAAAGATACCATATAATCTCGTCCCAACACCTATGCTGAAAGCCAGTTGCCGAGAAGTGAACCATGGCCTCAAATAATTTGATGGCACTTTCATGCCAAACAACACGTTTCAAAGTTGTATAGCCAAGTTTACCTTCCTCAGCTGCATCCTCTGGGATCTTGAAGGATTAGATCGCATTAGATGTCAGTATTGTGAGCAGATGATATTATAACGTAGAACTTACAATCGGAAGCCAGCCGACAACACAACCTCCTCCAACGGACTCAGAATTCCAGATGTCTACAGGGAGATTAGCACACCAAACAACTACAGGGTACCCTTTCACAGTGCCATGAGACGAAAGCCTTGTCTTGTCAGCATACAATATAAAACAGAATGGTACAGCATTTTCAACATCAGCAGGAAGCTGAGACTGTTAAGGGCACAGCAATGTTATAATCAGCCCAGGGACAAGAACTGTGCTTGCACATACTTACCTGTATGTCCCACCAGTGATCACATGTCCAAGGCTCACCATAAAAGCATTCATACTCTTCCCCATTGTGTTTGTAAACCCATTCAGCATCCCAGACAAAGTGTGGGGCTAATTGTGGGTCAGCAAGCAGGTCAAGAGCCCAGTCCCCGACTGGCCGAGTATGAACCTCAAACTCCATCTCCTTGCCCTTGTATGGCGCAGAGATGATGTGCTTGGTGAACTAAAGGATCAATATCGATAAATAGCATTCACAGCACAGCACAACTAATACACACAGGTGTTAATTTGGCTCCTGCATTATCACATGCCTTCCGCAACTCAGCATCGTTCTTCATCGTCACCTGCTCCATACCTTTGGTTACAAGAAGGAAAAGTTCCAATAATCCATTGACTTGAGTCTTGTTCAATCCAGCATCAAGGGCGATCTCTGCAAAAAGATAATCGCCTCGAGTTTTGAATGGTTTCCATGGCATGGAGTCAACCATAGTGGGCGAAGCAGCATTGTTGATTCCAAATTCTTCATATGGCTGGTGCAAAACGGGCCGACGACTGCGTGGATGGTACTCTGTTTTAAATTCAGTGGGCAGTTGGAGGGAAGCAGTAGATAGTGGGCATGATCGTGATGGCAATTCAGTAGATATATTGGAAGTGCTTTCCACGGATGTGTCCACGGTTGCTAGAAAAATATCACAGTTAAACGATCAATCCGATAACACTATATGCTGAAGAGGTACTTACTAGGATCATTACTATTCCCGCTGTAGTCATCGTGGTTCAATTGATTGCTATCAACCAAAGGATCAACTATTTTGTGACAAGTGAAGAATATCAAGCTAATATGAATGGAAACTCACAGCCATTGCCATCATCCCCATAGATATCACTATCTACATGTTCACAAACAGCATGGGAAGAACCAGCGTCCGATTGAGATAGATGCTGCCATGGTGCAACAGATGCACTGATTGAAGCACGATCATCTAGTAGTTGAGCCTTTTTTCGAGCTGCAGACACACAATAGATCAATTCAAGTGTTAGAAGGAATTTAAAAGCTATGAACTCACCCTTGCATCTTTCTCTTTCGAACTCCTTCCCACGTTCGGCTTGTTCTTTCTGTAATTCTTGTTGTTTTTTGCAGCTGATTTCGTGCCTTTTGATACCCTGTACCTTGAACTGTTTGCCGCAAAACCGGCATATATGGAGGGTAGAAAGCATTTCCTCAGAGTAGTTGTACTTGCCTCGAGGATTGCGCGAGGGTCCCATGATTCAGGTTCTTGAGAAACAACATTAGCATAATAATAGACGGTCTTTAATCGATTATTGTTGATTACTAATAATACCAATGACATATGCATGCACTGATTACAGTATTAGAATCGAGCTACTAATCAGTAATACACTAGGAGTCCATGGAACGAGCACAATAATTGGACAGTTTTCAAAGCTGAAATGGTGGCTAAAATCATAATAGTTACAATAGTCAAAATTTCAAAGGAAGTTTAAAAAGTCAAAGCAATGCATTTCGAAAACACTGCAGGTATGACATGCAAACTTGGAAACACCAGAAAACAACGGATAAACCAAGCGAGAAGAAAGTCTTGAGAATAAAAACGGTGAACAGGGGCATAAAAGATTCCTCTGTTTCCAACACTTGCGACTCCACATCATCGCCAACGTGTACATAGCGGACTAGTAATATAGAAAGTGACATTAGTACATGCAGATAAATGTAAATACCGTATGCACTGTTTGTCCTGGGTGATCCTCCAATTACCGCATGGCTGGTACCAACACCGTTGCAGTCGACCGTGACTGCAGAAGGTCCTTCCTTGTCACCTGTTATGTGTTCATCTCCACAGTGCACATTAAGGGATGAAAATGACATACCGTCCAGCCCACTCGACCCTCCAACTCTGGTGGAGCTGATATTCGCCGCCCTATGCAATCTCCTACTCTTCCTCTTCCTCTGCGCGTGTTTCCTGGCCATTTACTAAGAATTACATTAGTTATGCAAATAAAAAAACATCCTGAGTGACTCACAGATACTTGTAGAGTAGAGTGGCTTTCTGTATGAGAATGAGTGATGAGAGTGAGCAATGAAAGTGAGTGCAGGAAATGTCCAATGCACAAGAAAATAGGAGTGGAAGTTAAACAACTTTACAAGCAGTACTTGCGGCTAGTATGCAATTTCGGACGCATGATAGTCAGTAAATTATTCACATAAAGTATGAAATGTGTCATGTGATTGATCAGGCTCGCCATATAATGTTCCTTCATCGAGGACTCTAAATTTTACAAGGAGCATGTGTACATAAATCACCAAACGGTGGGTGATGCGAATGTGAACATCTTGCTTTTGCTTGCGGAAAGCTCGGGGTAGCCCGGCAACAACAATCTTAGCTGAGAGATCCTTGATACCAGCGGGGAGGGGAGGGGGTGGGGGTGGGTGGTGATGCAGGGGTTCTGGGTGAGCACAATCCACGCGTGCAATAAGTAGATTATCCCTGCTCTCAGTATCAGGTCCTGCATCTTGACGGGTGTAATCTGTCCCGGCATCACTGGCCATGCTCTCGTTGTCGTCATCGATGCCATCAGGTGCCAGTCTGCATTGCTCCCTTGCGACCACCTCAACTCATCCTCGACCAATTTCGACACGGCATATGAAAGCTAAATAGACCGGTGTCCAATCATTTATTTGACGCTTTCTTGCCACCCATTCGATGTGGCACATTGTCGAATGCATCCTGCATCCGATCCACACTAGCAGGTACATATCATTCGCAGAAGTCGCTTTGGGAACAGTAGGCAACATACTCGATGCTCCTGTGCGCAACGATGTCAGGTATGAGTAAAGACCAGACCTACGCCTTGACGTGTGGTGTGGGTGGTAATCATCGCCAGAGGGAAGCGAGTCATCAGGAGAAAGGATGGGAGTGGGATCACGAAGTGGTCGCGAGCATACTTGTGCTTGTACCGTAAATGAGTCGTCCTTTGAGTGTTTCTCAGTGGCAATCAATGGTCCCGAAACAAGCTTGAAAATGAATTAGTCCGAGGAATGACACAAAAGCGAGATGAAAGCAGCATCTAACAAATCAGCGTCCTTCTCGATGAAGCTCGTCACACTGTACGAGCAATTCCCTGCATATTAAATGGTTAATTCCAAACAAATTCTGTGTCAGTTGTTGGAGGACGAGCACAGTGAGCATATGACATTGTTATTCCAGATGACCTTGCAGAATCCAATGAGTATTGTAACCAAGTAGCTTACCCCTTCACAACAGGTAACGAAAGGATATGGTTAGCACCTTGGCAGGCAGAAATGAATCTATGGTTTCGACTCCCAATGCCGCAACCATCGTGGTAGAGGGCAGCCAGCAAGTGGGCATCTGTGAGCGCACTCGACAGTGTCGTAGAGCAGGGAGATGGTGGAGGGGCCAGGTTACTAACCGCATGCATATACCCGCACAGTGATGTGAATCTGCAAAGTGTCAGAAGCCCTGGGGTTACCTGCCAGAGGTGCAAAACTGCGTGTGGGCGAGCCAGAAAGGCTGGGAAGTCAAACGGGCGCATTGGATGCGTGCACACATGCGCAGAGCGTTGCGAATGACTTGTGAACAGCTGCAAACTCGTTAGCAACCCCCGATGTACCTGCCAGAGGCGCAGTATCACGCATAGGGGAGCCAGAAAGGCTCGAAAACCGAACAGATGCATGGAACACGTGCGCGCGCGTGCGGAGCGTTGCGAGTGACCCACAAAGGCCTGAAAATAAATCAGAATGCATCAGCCCCAGAACCACGCCTAGAGGTGCCACACAGGCCCAGGAACCACGCAGATGCATCAGGCACACGCACGCAGGCACAGTGTGCTCAAATCGATGCAAAAATGGCTGCAAGAACCCAAAGACATCAGAATGGGCCGAAACCGCCCAACTCACTCATTGGCACAAAGAGCTGGCGAAGTGGATGGCTTGGGGAAACATGCGGATGTGTCAACTGCACGGATGGACGTGCAGAGCAATGGGAACAACCTGAAAACTGCTAAAAACATGAGCAGAAAAGTCAGAACAAGCCAAGGAGCCAAAACTCACCTTTAGAGCTCGAAATTGAAATGGCCAAGTATCCCGAAGGACAGAAACATGTTAACATTGATGGAAACGACGTGCACGTGCCGCAAAACACGCTGATCGAAGCCCAGGACACACAAAACATAAAGATTGCCTTTGGGGAATGGTTGAGGTGATGGGCAGAAGCGAGGACTTCGTGGCAAGTGTTGAGGTTGAGGAAGCTAGTGGTAGGGCTGGCAAATGAAATGGTGAGGTGAACAGCACTATCGGTGGCAGCAACGTCGACTTGTGACAAGTGGAAGCAGTGCGCCTGACTGCAAAAGGTCAGCATATTGCATATTTGCAGCAATGCAAGATGGTGACAAAATGACTTATGGACTGGGGCTGCCCGGTTCACCCAACAATTCTTCAAAGCCACAACATTGTGAGTGGCAACAGCATCTCAGGCCATGCAAAGCGAATGCATACAAATATGGTGAGTGTTCCTTAGGGATCTGAGGGGCTTGTTGAAATCACATATGTGTGCATTGCACACGGCTGGACAAGCAAGGTTTCTGGCAGTGCTTCCTGATTACATTAGCATGCCATAATCAGATCTTGCACACCATCATAACGACTCTTTCAATGCACATAATAATTCAGGGACATCACATTATCATTTGGCTTCATTACAATGATGCCGAAACTTTTTGTGACAATCTTCAGATCCTGTATCAGCAGTCTACCCAATTGCCATCCTCAGAATTAGTGCTCACCTGGAAGCCAAATCCCTTGAGCCTCATCTGTACCCAACTCTTTCCCCTTCCCCTTATCCACTGGCTGTGCCTGGTGCTTGGCCCTTGACAAAGGCCTGGTAAGCTCCTCTATGACCTTGTAATATGGGTGAGACTTAGGCTGGTGACAAAGGCAATACCATGCATGATCCTTCACATCAGCCTCTCATGCCATCATCATCTGGTTGAAAGGTGGCCATGTCTGCATGGCAAAGATTGTTGCTGGGTCAACCATGTGCATATCGATAGCAATAAGATGCAGAGGGATCTCGAATGCTGGGGGTAGATGTTCAACAACCATGTGGACCATTCCCTACATAGATGTCAGGAATGGATATCATGGCTGCAATTTCACTTACCAGCTAGGCCCACACAAGCTTAGCCACTTTGCCCCAGTGCTTAGTGTCCTGGCCCCAAAGTCATCTCAGTACCTGCATTGTAACCCTGGCAGCCTCCTCAACCATCTGCTTGGCATTTTCAGTGGTGATGACCAGCTGGGTGTTGTTGGTTGATTGTGCCAGGATGAAGGTGCTGGTGTTGGTGGTAGACATAGTGCTGTTAAAGCTTAGGTGTGCAGGTGGTGGGTGCTTGAGCAGTGTGGTGAATTTGCTGGCTAGCATACACCATTCAACAGGCTTACATAAGCACAATACAAATGCTCACTCTGGTGATGCTGTGATTCACATTATCATTATTTTCAGGGAGATGGGATGCATTTGATGCATGTGTCCTAGTGAAGTGTGACAACCACTGGATCACATCACCGAATGCTGACTATGTTCCCCAACCCTTCATCTTTGATGGAGAAACAATCATGCCCCTACATGATGGACAGTTCAGCCATATAGACCATTTTCAATGGCCACAGTTGTTCGCAGAATGCTACACATAGAGTCTGTGTGTCCCCTGGAAAGTGGCCCATGGAAACAACCCAACATGGAAGTGGCTGTGGTGGAACATTACCCAGTCAGTGGAGGATTTTGAGCTGGAAAGAGGGTCTGCCTTCAAAGTTGGCAGGATTCATGCTGACAAGTGGAAGTCAATGGAGACCATTTATAATCAACTAGACAAACATTTGCAAGATTGGCTAAAGAAGCACCCCCACTACAAAGGTCTCTGAGACCCAATTCATGGCTGGGGTCATGTCAGCAAAGTCTCCTGCATCTGAAGGTATGATTTTTTCTGGTTCAGATTTCATTAATTAAAATTTTCTCTAGCAACTCCCACTTATGTTTCAAGACACAGTCATATTGGTCGCTTTTTGTCAACACCTCCTCCTAGATGTCTTTGGCATGCTAGAATATCTGGACACAGACCTTGACCCTGCTACAGGCACTTTCATTGATTCATTTGACCACTGGATTGGGGCATTCATGACAGACCCCAACATTTGCCAGTGCCTTTTCAAAATACACATGCCTGTCTGGATGGTCTGGAAACCCAATTGTGTACCCCCAGACATGCAAGTGTTGAAGACCATCGAGATTACATGCCCTCATGACATAGTCATGGATCCTGAGGTTTTTGAGGTCAGGCAGATGCTGAAATGGCACAGCGCCTGGTACCACCCTGGTGAATCACACCACAGGCACACTCAACAAGGCCCAGTGATTGGGCTCAAGCAATTTGTGGCTCCCTGTCCAGAACCACCATGCACCAGCAGTGGTGTGGCCTTGACTCCCACAAGCATGGGTCCCATGGCTTCCAATTCTGCAAGTTCCAGCAGTGCAAGTTCAAGTACAGGAGCTGTTAGGATGGGCAGGGCTCGACAATGTAATCAGCCATGTATGTATCCTATTCATTTTGTCTCAGTGTGTTTAACATTTTGCTCAGATCCCCCTGCAGGCTCAAGAGGAGCCAAGCCATCAGTCATTCTGAATCCCAAACTGTGGGAAGACCTCAGTGATCCAGCTATTCCCCCTGCTATGTCTGCATGGCATGCTGCCCTGAAGGATGTGAATAAGGATGCAAAAAGGGTTAGTCCCAATGTGCCCAAGGTAACTTACTTCTTTCCCAGCCTGAGTCTGTTTGTGAGGGGCAAGTCCTCCAATCACCAGCAGAGGTACCTGAGGAATTGGCTAGTCTCTTGAGCAGGTTGGATCACTCATCTTTCTGCCTCAGATGTGTCTCCTGTTATCCCTTGGTCCTGGCAGGATTTCCTGAACACAATTCCCAAGCAGATTTCATCCACATTTTCCAGTGACCAACTACATGAATCTGCTGCCCTCTTCAGTCCTGAGCTTGTCAGCCTCCAACATGACATACCTAGCCATGTACAATTCCAGGATATTTCAATTTCCCTTGCAGACCTCATTACCACTGATCAGATGACAAAAAGCAAGATTTTATGGGATTTATATGAACACAACTTCCAGTTCAAGTTGGTTGCTCTTGACCATGTGATGATGCCTAGCCTGTGGTCGAATCAGGATTCAGAGTGGCTTGATCATGTCCAGCAGGTACATACAATTTTACCTCACCAGGAATGTGCTGTTTCTGAACTCTATGCAGATTTTCCCTGGTGATTTGGAGCTCACCATGTGTGCTGAGCCTTTCCCTCAGAAAAATCAAGGCCTTGGCTCATCTGACTTGCAATTGAAATGGGAGTATGTAGAGAAGCTCTGGGCATTACTTGCTGTATGGCCAGGATGCCCCTTGGACTTGGTGGAGCCAATTATGCCATTAGTGTCATCGTCGTGTGTCTGGGCAATGGAAAAGAAGTTGGCTATATTTTATGCACAGTCATTCTTTGATACTTTTGGTCATCTGCCCCTTCTTCCCTGCCTTATTCCAACTGCACTGTGTGGTTACAGTTCAAATAGTTGGTAACCTCCTTCATCATTCCCCAATACCATTTTTACTCTGTACATTTCCCAAACGATATTCATAGCATGCTTCAATTGCAATCTCATTTTGTTCATTGCACACTTGCTCTGTCTCTTTCCCCATCACCCTCACTAGTCATGTGCGAAGGTCAGTTTGCTTTTCTATGCTGGAGGCTAACTATTGGAGATGTGCTGGTGGCATCTTGGGGTTGCCTTCCAGCAACCAGGATTTGGTGTCCTGGTCACAGTCCTGTAACTTGGTATTGCAAGATCATTGTCTACCACCAACTCGCCTAGACAGTTTATGCATCTGACCAAATTTCATAGATGTCTTTTCGTTGACCAAAACAGCTTACTAGGTGTGGTCCCCCTGTACAAGTTACCACCCCAACAAACCAGATTCCTGACTCGCTCCATGCAGATGATCTCATGGTCCTTGTTGACCATCATTGCTGAACCTTCATGCCATGTTCCTGGAACTGCAGGGCTTTACCTTCCTGTTGAGTGCTTGCTCACCTTACCTGGCCATCACACTTTCACACAACACCCCAGTGATTCCTCCAACCCACACATCTGATGCCACTCTGCTTCAAGTGCTGCTTGCCTGTTAGAGCCTTCTGTGGGTAGTGAATGTGACCTCTCCCATGATGCCACTTTCAACCACTTAACCAATGGGCTACATATTAGCCAAGACCTGCTCTTGTCACCATCTAGGAATGCCTGAAAAAAAATGAAGCAGTGGCAGTGGCAGTTGCACACTGTCATCCCTTCCCTCCTTCAGCCATACCTTGCATATTGATGACTATCCAACCACTTCCAGAATCCTGTTGACTATGGACTGCTGACATGTGGTTGTCACCAGACTTGAAAACTGAGAGTCATTTGCATTGATTTCAATGGTGAGATTTCTGTGTTCTTTGTGATTTTCCTCTGCTTAGATGCATTCATGGCAGCTCTGCAATCAGTTGATCTGGCTGTCTGTCCTTGTGCACCTGCAGCCCTCCAACTCCTTTGGATGGGCTACTTCCCCTGTGCCCCACTGGGGCCAACACTTGCTGTTAGCCTACAGCTTCTCAGCTTTGTCCAACAATTCTTCATGTGCATACCTCCAAGCACTTCAGCATGGTGTGAGTCCCTTGAGGCATACCTTGCAGCTATGGGTTATGAGGTGGACACAAAGGTATGGAATTGTCATGTTTTGTATCATTACCCCATTTTTTCCACTTCATAAAACATACATTACTGCCATAGTGACTGTAGTACAGATGACTCTGCTATGTAGGTAGTATATCTTAATCTGATGCATGACTATTTCATGGTTATAAGTGCATGCATATGTGACATGTTCTGTTTCTTGGGACTGCTGTAGTGTTATATTGATAGGGTAGGATGTTTGTTGGTATTGTTTGTGGTGATGTTGCTATATTATTAATGCATACTTTGGTTGTTCTTCTCAGTCATGGATCATTGCTGATGATACTTGCAGGAGGGTATATTCCAGAGGTTCAGTAATGCATATCACTGGTATTGTATTCTGGAAACATCCCTTGATGAATATGTCCAACAACAACTGCAAGAATCTGCTAGTCCACCATCAAACATCCCCTCTGCAATCCCATTGCCAAGTTCCCCAGACAATGATGTCCTCAGTTCAAAGATGAGGCCATCAGAATACCTATGACAGCATTGTCCTCTATGCTTTGGTGGCCAGAGCTGGCAGAGCAATAATAGTGAACATGGGTATGTCACTTGGTGGATATAGTTTTGTCAACTGCTAAAATTTCCTTTGTTCTAGCTTTTCTGATGTTGATGCAATTGTTTGCATTGATCCTTGTTTTACTCAGAAGCGCAGAAGTAGGCATCTGGATGATCCAGTAAACCCTACAGCTACAGTCTTTCTTTCACAAGAAGATATTTGTGCTATGGAGCATGAGGTTAATGAGTTGCGAAAGTCAAAGTCTTCAACCCAAAGGAGGAGTGGACAGGCTTTGAAAAAGAATTATCTTGGTGATGGGGAGGATGAGTTTGAAGAGGGAATGAGGATAACAATGTCAGTGCTGAAGGGTTGTAATGAGTCCTTTACTGCAGCTGGTGAGAGGCACCAGAACATGAGTCTTAATCATTTATTCTGACTCCATTGGTCTGATGGCAGTGTAGGCAAGTACCCAGTTCTTTTCAGATACTGGTATCATGGCCCTACTCTGTCATCATGATCATGTCATTTACCTTGCAAATATGACTTCAGCTGGGGAGAGGCAACATTATGCACTTGCCCTCATCAAATCTCTTTTTGGCCATCTCCCAGATAATTTTCATATTGGGCTGTTATATGACATAGGTTGTCAACTGGAACAGAGCTGCAGGAAGTGGGGTTTTCCCAAGTCATTTCTGCCATGTATTTCTTTTGCCATCTCAGTATTTCATGCCTTTGATCATCAATGGGCATATCAGCTTATCTATCACCCCCAAAAATGTGAAGGATTTGGGCTATCTGATGGAGAGGGATGTGAGCATTTTTGGAGTTCAATCAAAGGGCTGATACCATCTCTTCATGTTTCTGGGGTATGTGTGCAGTATGCCACATCTGTTTCAAGCTAACATATTATTCAGTCTCATCAACACCTCTTTGTTATTGACTTCCAGGTGTGCCACCTGGACATGAAAAGTCTCACTGGTTTGGGCCAGTGGCTTTTGCATCACTGGAATCATTGCCAAGGAAAGAAGGCTGCTGCAAACAGAAGCCTAAGGAGATGTGGAGTTGATATCCCAACTCTTCAAGCTGAATGGGTTGCTCAAGTCTCTGCACAGACAAAGCCAGCTCCTTGTAAGCTGCTGATATAAATAATGACTCCTGTTCACCATCAAATTAGGTCACAGCTCTAAAGCTGCTGAGAATATGATATTGCAAATCATGGCAACTCAGAAATCATTGGCAAATTATGAGGCCAAGCTAGAAGTGCTGGAGAAAGATCTTCTCCATGGGGTTGCTGACATGACAAGCTTGAATATCCAAATTGCAGAGTGTCATCAAAAGGTTAAGTGTTTTAAAGAAGCTTCGCAGAACCAGAGGGCAACCCTAGGCATAAATGGGCATTCAAATCTTGCTAGCATCCAAAGGAGTGCTTATCTTCAAGTTAGTGGCAGTGTATTTTCTACATGGTTTCATCTAATTGAGACCATGTTCCATAGCTTCACATGCATGCATTAGCAATCAAGAAATGTATCAGAGATCATCTGCACCAACAAAAGTTTGAGTTGGAAAGACTGGAATGCTCATATTGGCAGACTCTCAGTGGTAAGAGGTCATCATTCATGAATACCCTTGTATTTGACTTGCCTTGGAGAACAAAGACTTCAAAACCACACAGAAGCATCTGTGAAGTGATGAGAACCAGGAATAGCCAAGCTTGCCAGTAGCTACAATAATCTGTGTCTGCAAATTGTAGGCCTCATACACAAGGGAAAAGCTCCTCAGGGGTCAATAGCCCCACTCCTGATCCCAAGGGACTCTTTGTTCAAACTGGATGTGGATGATGATATTTGGCAGGGTATTGGCCTTGGGAATGATTCAGATGGGTTACTACCCCCATGGTTAGCTGATGAAAAAGTGCACTCAGGGATCAGATCACTCCTTGAGCTGAGGCATTGTGAAGAAGAGGAAAGGCACCTGTTGCAGGAAAGAAGAGCTTTGACAGAGTGGTTTTCTGAAGAGTGGGGTCATGTGCAGAAAACCAGACAGAGTGCTGGTAAGAGACATGTGTCATTGCATTACCATGACTAACACACATTGTAGATGTTGATCTTGCATATGAACTTGACTGCAGAGCATTGAGACTAGCAGGTCTGTGCATCTTGTGGAAGAGGCAACTTAGAGGCTATCCTGGAACACCTAATGAGAACTGGGGTGCAAGTGATGAAGAACTTCACAGCATGGTGCAAGGTGGTCATGTTATATATATTGATAGTGATAATGAGGAGAGGTTTGATGGATTGGAGTCAGAGGGTGAAGAGGATGAGGATGAAGTGATGGATGATGAGTTGCTATGTGTTGCTGAAGAATTTTCCCTGGCAGATGAATATCACCAACAAAGTGATATGCCATTGGAAGAATTCTGATGGGGAGAAGAATGGGAGAATGACCTACTGGATATGGATCCACCATCATCTCCAAGTAAAAGAGTTTGATACAAATAAGGGTGATAGAGATATATTATAATCTATTTGGTGTGTTTAAATAGAATTTTTTTTGAGCATCATGTTTGCAAGACATATGCATGTGTAAAATGTAGAATATCCCACTGGTTGGCAGAGGGGTAGGTGGGATGTCCCAATGTAGCCTTAGAGGCTGTTGTGGGACATCCCACTGCTTGACAGAGAGGGGGTGGGATGTCCCAATGTAGCCTTAGGGGCTGTTGTGGGACATCCCACTGCTTGGCAAAGGGGAGGGTGGGACATCCCAATGTAGCCTTAGAGGCTGCTGTGGGACATCCCACTGCTTGTCAGAAGGGGGGAGGGATGTCCCAATGTAGCCTTAGAGGCTGTTGTGGGACATCCCACTGCTTTGCAAAGGGGAGGGTGGGATGTCCCAATTTAGCCTTAGAGGCTGTTGTGGGACATCCCACTGCTTGCCTAAGGGGAGGGTGGGATATCCCAATGTAGCCTTAGAGGCTGCTGTGGGACATCCCACTGCTTTCCAGAAGGGGGTGGGATGTCCCAATGTAGCCTTAGAGGGTATTGTGGGACATCCCACTGGGTGACAAAGGGGAGGGTGGGATGCCCCACACCAGTCTCAGAAGGGGGACAGTGGGATGTCCCAACTTAGCCTAAGAGGCTGTTGTGGGATATCCCACTGGCTGCTAGAGAGTGGGGTGGAATGTCAATATAACCCAAGAGGGTGTTCCAGGACATAGCCTCAGCTAGTGTTGCTGTGGCTCAGCTCCAAAGGCTGACCTGCTCAACAACAAGCAGCTCAGTCACTATGACAACTATTACCAAATGTAGCCTTGTGTTGCCACATACCAAATCCACAATATTTATTTTAATACTCAATAATATAGATGTGGTATGGCCCTTGGCTGAGGACAGCTCCCTGAGCCACAGCAACACTACCCCCAGCTGCCAGAGGGGGAAGTGGGATGTCCCAATGTAGCCTTATGATGGAAATGTGACCAGAGCTGGGATTGAAGCAACCTCTTAGGTGATAACCAGTGCTCTAACAGTTGAGCAAATATATATTGTCCAGGTACTAATATCAGTAGCATGGGGGTAAACCAGTGACATGGGAACAAGACTATGTGAAGAGCAATGCACCATTCCCCACTTGCTCAGAGGTTGTTGTGGGACATCCCACTGGTTGCCAGAGGGGGGGAGGGATGTCCCAATGTAGCCTTAGAGGCTGTTGTGGGACATCCCACTGGTTGCCAGAGGGGGGGGATGGATGTCCCAATGTAGCTTTAGAGGCTGTCATGGGACATCCCACTGCTTGCCAGAGGGGGGGAGGGATGTCCCAAAGTAGTCTTATGAGGAAAATGTGACCAGTCCTAAGATTGAACCAGTGACCTCCTAGGTGTTTACCAGGTGCTGCAACCACTGAGCCATATGGTCTGGGTACTAGTGTCAGTAGCTTGGGGGCTTAGACTAGCACTGTGGGAACATATCTCCATGAAGTTAATGCACAGAATGCACCATCTCCAATGTGGTCCCTTCATCTGGCCACTTTTGGAGTGTAAAAACAGTGCACACCCCCTAGGGTCATGCAAATGGTCTGATTGCCTTTTGACCTTGTGTCATGTGATGGATCAGGATTTACTGCTGTGTTTCCAGGAGGCCTTACTATCAGCCACCTTGTGTCCATGTAACTCACAGGATCTGGACTTACCAAGGATGCTGCATGACCCATTGTACTGAGCATGCATGGGTTCCAGCTGCAGCTCATAACCTGATGAAAATGTGACCAGAGCTGGCATTGAGCCAGGACCCTCTCAGTGTCAAGCAGCTGCTCTGACCATGGAGCTACCTTGCATTGGATTCTCTATGGTGCTTGTAGGATTAGTGCAGATTACTACTTCAACACCTTAGAGGCTGTATTGGGACATCCCTCTGGTTGCCAGAGGGGAGGGTGGGATGTCCCAATATAGCCTTAGAGGCTGTTGTGGGACATCCCACTGCTTGGCAAAGGGGAGGGTGGGATGTCCCAATGTAGGCTTAGAGGCTGTTGGGGGACATCCCACTGGTTGGCAGTGGGGAGGGTGGGATGTCCCAATGTAGGCTTGGAGGCTGTTGTGGGACATCCCACTGGTTGGCAAAGGGGAGGGTGGGATGTCCCAAGGCAGCCTTGGAGGCTGCTGTGGGACATCCCAAGTCCCCTTATGAAAGTCAGTGGGATGTCCCATCCCAGCCTCAGAGGGCTATGATGGCACATCCTCCCAAGTTACCTTTGCAGACCAGCACAATGCCCTATGATGACCTCAGAGGCTCATCTGGGACATTCTGCCCTCTGCAGATGGTGTTGCAAAGGTGACTAACCCCATGTTCTATGTGGGGGACTTTGAGATATTGGCTTGTCACACAAGTGCTCAAAAACCATTCACTTCTTCCTTCATACAGTACAAATTGCATGAGGTATAGACACAAATTGATTGAATTTATTACTGCAATTTTCAAGGCAAATGTGGAGGCCCAGGTGGGTCATCTCCCTGGCAACTAGTGAGATGTCCCAATACAGCAGAATCAAATTGCAAAGATGTACATGAAAAGTACTATTGTGTACTACTATGCATGGTGGGATGGGAGGGGATGTATAGGTCAAAGGATACTTTGTGGATTAAATCTGTCAGAGGAGCAAGGGGGCTAGGATTTCTGCAGCTATTTCAATGCTAATATATGCTGCACTTTCAGGAGTAGGGACCCCAGTCACCCAAGGCAGTCTTGGGACATCCCAAATAATTGCATTTGAATGGATGGCTATGTGGGAAATTCCATTTGTCCCAGGGCCTAAAAATCTGCATAGCCCTGGGACATGACCAGATGTCCCTGGGCAGACCTTGGTCTGGGAGGCTATTAGGCTGGATGGATTGGAGAAACTATTCAGCCTAAATGCTTATGAAAAATTGTTACCTGAAGTGGGTGTGTGTTATTGATGGACAGGGGAGCTCCAAAGGTTCAACAGGCAAGGCAGCACATGAGGCTGATGCATGAGGCTGATGCAATAATTCTGAAGATGACAGACATGGAACTCTGATAGGGGTCAACTTTGGTAACAGTGGAATTTTGGTGTTGGCATCCCTATTTCAGCCTCAGGGAGTATACCACTCCCTACACTGGTCTGTGCAACATGGCCAATTGTCAACCTTGTTTGGTCATATGATACAGTACAAAGTAGGTACATTATGTGTCTCCATGTCTTACAGCAACTCAGTATACTTAATTGGTCATGGGCCCATCTAAATGTTTCAACATCCTTACCCACCATGGGCCCTCCCATATGTTGTGGTAATGCACTTACAGGCCCATACATATGTTGCTCTCACTTTAATCCCTCAGGCCTGTCTTGGGGTCTGCATAAGTGTTGGTGTTTTGGTGCACAGGCTGCCCATGTGTTGTGACTAAATGTGACTACACTATGTGTAGACATTTTCTCTGACTTCAAACCTGAGCAAACATGTAGAAAAGGATCTAAACTTCAAGTATGGATTTTTTCAGTATGCCATCACAAACTCTAAGTGTGAGATTGATGTATTGTATTACATATAACAGGGTACTATATAGTGGAAAACTCACTGTGATTGGTCAATTCTGGTCTATCAATTTGGAACCTGCTGTAATGTCAACTGTTGGAACATGTGTCCCCTATGTTTATTTGCTTACAGCATACAAGCTTACATAATAATTCTTCGCACTTAGGCAGTTAGTTTTTCCTTGTGCACCTCAGTCTTCTTACCACAGAAGCCTGAGACCTTCTTTATAGTCTTAATTTTGGCCTCCTCTTAAGATCAACAAAGGTAAAGGCATGGTTCCAAGGCACCACTGGATTCCCATCAATAAACAAAAATAACAGTACAAGGCCACCAACACTCATTCTGTACCTTGCATGTACACAGCTAACAAGAATTTCATGCACTATATTTTTTATGTTGTATGGAGTGGACTCCAAATATGCACATGGTACATGAGAAAAATCATGCAGTATGTTTTATATTGTGTGAATGGTCTCTGAAAATGTGCATGATACATGAAAACAATGCACAGAGTAAGAGAGATGTGCACAGTACCTACAAAAAATATGCGGGGGGCATCAGAAAAACGCACATCAATTTGTTACAGATGCAGCATCATATGCTGACATCTCTCATGTATCTGATGTTGAAAGAAATTTCACTGCACTTTAATCTCGGCCTACAGCATGACTGTTGTTGCAGAAGACCTGTCTCTAACTAATCATGACACATGTAGTTTATTTTCTGATTCTTGGCATCGCGTGTGTCGTACAATCATGATCGGATTACAACGCTATCTATGAAGGTGGGGTATACAAGACATGCATACGGGGCGATCGACAACAAATCAATAAGAAATGATCATTGACGCCTTGAATTTCCTATCATAGATCCCCCACGCAGATCTCCGCCTTGCAGGGTGCTGCCAAGTGTCTTGCGTAGCTGTGTGGAATGAATTAGAAGCTAAATAGTCGATAGAATTAGGTTACAGAGCTAGTCGATAGTCTCCTGAACTCACCTGCATATGATATGATTCTAATACATGGATGGCCCATACCATCTGTCTCTTGAGAGCATCATCGAAGTGATAGCCAGGTACCTGTTCACGAGCCACAACTGCAAATTGCATCATTGACTCGGAGATACCCCACCACCAATCCATTGAAGAGGCCATGCCCCGTATAACCGAATCCATCGTCCCAACCACTGCTGATAAAAAATCTGTTCATATCTCATTAGTTGTGCGACCCAACTCGACATCGAACATTCTCTTGCCAAAGTGCATTTGCGCATCTCCTCTTTTGGGGAACAGCGGCCATCGGTTACTCCCGGAACTCACTGTGAGAGCGGCCCGATATCGTCTAGATTCCTGCAGAAAACAATCAACACGCAGACTGGCACAAATTGTCGCCAAACGAACATCTACCATACTTGCGTACGAGTCACTCCAATCGCGTTGAGTTGGCCTTATGACATCTGGAAAGCCGGACCCAAAGTCGTGTAGTGAACGTGCGTTTGAAGAATGCAATATGTCCTTTAGGGTAAAACATCCTCTCTGCGCGTGGTCAAGAGTCCTGTCTACGCAGTTGGCGAAGTTGCGAGTCCAAGCAGCTGTGTAGCGCACAACATCGTCCCGGGTAGGTGTCTTACCAGACACCCTCGGGAAACGATGCGCGTAGTGAACGAGCTGAATACATTGTGTGATACATTCCATTTGGGGGAAAGATAAAGATGTCGTTGGAGGCGGCCGAAACGTTCCCCTCGTGGATACGTCTACGGAAACGGGACGATCGCCGCTCAGTGGATCAAGGGGAGCTACCGTTTCATACGGGGGGCGATCTCTGGGACCACCCAGTCAGTCTAGCCATAGAGATTCTTCAGAAACAAACCACGCACTTGTGTCCTCTGCTCGCTGACATGCTGAAACGGAGGTATGCAGGCGGAGATGGGATAAGTGTATGAATTGTCGCTGACAATGACCGTATATATATGTAAGGCCTTGCGCAAACTGACGCCGTGCATGATAGAAATTGTATCAGGACCAACATTTGAGAAACAATAAACCAGATTGGTGGACAAGGTATCATCAGGCCTCTGCAGACAATGCGTCGTGAATATACCACATCTTATTGTCCACACTTGCATCTTCGACACATGATTCCCACACATTTAGTGTACGGCTGCCCGTTTCTTCTTGTTAGTGGACGACGGAGGCATTGATTACGTCGGTGGACAACAGCTGACATCCTAGAAGATCGTTAGCGGAGTAATTTCTCAGTCCGGACAATACTTTCTGAAATAATTGTACGTCATTTACCAGTGGACGGCTTGCCTAGCGAGTCGTTAGCGGAATACGGATGCCGATCAATCACCGAAATGACACTACATAAGTACCGTAATCCCGTAAAATATACAAGCGGTACAGTGGCGGTGCAATGGCTTATGTAGTGTCATTTCGGTGATTGATCGGCATCCGTATTCCGCTAACGACTCACTTGCCTCAGGCAAACCATCCACTAGTACATGACGTACAGTTATTTCAGAAATCATTGTCCGGACTGAAAAGTTACTCCGCTAACGATCTTCTAGGATGGTGTCCACAGACGTAATCAATGCCTCCATCGTCCGCTAACGAGAAGAAACGGGCAGCCGTACACTAAATGTGTGGGAATCATGTGTCGAAGATACAAGTGTGGACAATAAGATGTGGTATATTCACGACGCATTGTCTGCAGAGGCCTGATGATACCTTGTCCACCAATCTGGTTTATTGTTTCTCAAATGTTGGTCCTGATACAATTTCTATCATGCATGGTGTCAGTTTGTGCAAGGCCTTACATATTGTATATAACATATCAAAGCCCTCTGGGCACTCCTGGATGCATTTGGGGAAAGCACATAATGTAGTTATTTAGATTTACAAGTGATTCTACAGGCAATTCTATTGAGTGAGTGTGTGTCCAAGTTTCTGCAAGGGATTAGTACTGTGGGGGTGCAATATTGAATGGAAAAGTCTACAGGGCACACATTCATGTCAACCATGTGGGATGGCAGATGACATAACTGTTATTTGTGAGTAGTTGTTTTGATGCTCAGAAAATGATGTATGAGCAATCTGGAGGATGGGGGGGCACACACAATGAGGTGGAGCCACAGACTTGTCCCCTGAGCATCCAAACAGCATCAATGATGCCCAAACAGTAGAATGTTGCTGTGGGGTCTGCACCACAATGAGGAACTGTAGTGAAGTTGAGTGACACTCCCTCTCCAAGCAGTCTTTAACTGTCAAAACACATACAAGAGCAATGGACAAGTAGCTGTAGACTTGTGAATGCAGAGGGCATCAACACACCCCTGATAGTGCAGACAATGAAGCAAAACCACTGAAATTCCACAATGGATTTAATATCCTTCAACATCAGGAAAGGGAACTGCCACAAACTTGCATACAGAGCTTGTATGACATACCAACAACAGTCCCCTAGGGTACACAGACTCAGCAGTAAATTCCTCATGTATAGTAACATGGTCCAGCATATATTCTTGCCAAATAAACTCATAACTGATGGCAATGACATCACTGACCCCAGCAGCATCAATACACAAGCAGCACATGCCAGTGTCCATGGTTGTCTGCATGACACTCCCTGACATGATGAATATAAACAAAATGCCAAAACCCCAATGCCCCCTGAAGGCCACATGACTGGACTTAATGGTCTGGTATGATCATTGAGGACAAAGAGTTTGCAGACCTGGCCTGATGGCATCCAGGAATATGGTCATTGTCAGCAATAATTCATGCACTTATCCCATCTCTGCCTGCATACTCCATTTCAGCATGTCAGTGAGCAAAGGAAACAAGTGCATGGCTTGTTTCTGAAGAATCTCTATGGCTAGACTGACTGGGTGGTCCCAGAGGTCACCCCCTATATGAAACAGTGGCTTCCCTTGATCCTGATCCTGCTTTCTCTGTTCTGTCTTCACCCATCCCTGTTCTTCCCATTCCAATGATGTTATTCCTTCAGCAAGGCTGCCCTGAATACTTTATAGTTCATACTCTGCCACTTGAGGTATATAAGCCATTTGATACTCTCCTGTATTCACCAGTTTTTTGCTACTTTACAAATTGTCATAAAACCTATCTCCTCATATCTGAGTACTTGTGTGGATTTGTGGATGGTTCACAAAGTCAGGGACCTTGAGAGCTACTAGTCAACAAGCCATAGGGGTTACAACATGTTCAGCTCATAGTGACATCTCCAATCCTTCATGCCTAGTCTGTTTGACAAAGTCACTGGATCAGAGCATAACATGAGCTGATGTTCTCATCTCATGGGGATTTCCTCCCATGCAGTAGCTACCTTTTATCTACATTGTATATTTGATATCTTGTTTGTTGGGGCATGTCTGCCCTTGCTCCCACTGTGTTTTACTCACCCCCATTATGGACATGACATACATCCCACCTTCAGGCACAACTTTATTTCCTCACTTGGGTGTGGTAACAACTTGCTGTCTCTACAAGAAGTCACATACATACTTAGATTAGATCCTATTGTCTGTATACAATGACTGAAGTGTGTCTACCATTACCCATGTTACTTAGCTGGTTCACTGAGTAGATACCATAGGAGACATCTGACCATATCATCCTTGTAGTAATCCTTCACGAGCCATGTTTGGGTCAGTGAGCAGGGCAATGGCATCCATAGCCAAGTCAGGGTTCCTGAAGGGAAACACTCTGGCACCCCTGCGTATCAGATCCCTCCACAACCCATTTTCATACTCGGCAAGCTTGGCCCACCAAACGCCGGTTATCCTGCTCCACCCTGTAGCAACCAAAACAATAGACGAGTAGAAGTTAATGCCTTCGCAAAGTCCGCTGAAAGACTGAATATCGGGAAGCACAGGTTGTGTAGCGTCCATGTTTTGAAAGTAGAGTATACCAGCCAGGAAAAGAAAACGACTGTGATAATTTGAAACCAACGTGCATAGTTCATTTCGTTATCACCCTCACCTCGATCTCATACACCAGTCCCGTACGAGGCGGAAAACGTGATATATAGTTATCTTGCTGCCATCCGTGAAGGAACCGATCTCGGGTGTGTCGAGGAGGGCAACTTTGACACCCCTTAAATTCATCCTTGTTACTGTGAGCCGATGTGTTGCGTGGTTCAAGGCGGATGCCCTCCCCAGAGCATTATTCATGATCTGTCGTACAAACTGTCAAATAGTTGGAGTGGTTGACTTCATAGGATTTCATCAACTCTCACAGCAACCTTCTCTGACCCTACGGGCCCGATCAACCTGCAAGCAAAAAAGTGTGAATGACTCCCTGCTCCACGAGCGCATACGACTCACACAATGATCTTCTCATCTTCGAGATCAACTATAGAACTCAGAACAGTTAAAAGAGGCGCAACGGACGATGGAAGGTATTACCATCCACACGGCGCAAGCCACAGCATAACTAGGAAAGGGTCAGTAAAAAGGTGCGACACCCATATGTGACCAAATTGACCATCGTTGGAATACCTACTTCAGTTGAGGATTCGTAAGAACAGGGTCTGGCTTTACAGATTTAACGTACCTTGGTTTCCAAGTGGCCCAATAAGCAGTGCTGGAACAAAGGCGGGGATAACGCGCGGCGTGGACGAGGCTTCGGGCTTCTGCACACAACGTGTATCTTCCATCCACAAAGGGGACCTATCTCGACCCATCTTTGTTGTTACATTTACTGTAGGGCACTGCCCGTCTCTTCCTATTGATGGACGGCAGAGCCATTAATTATGTTGGTGGACAACAACCGACATTCTAGGATTGTAAGCGAAATTCGGAGGAATCAATTACCTAAGCGACACTGTTGTCTGCGTCGAGCAACAATCAAACGGCATGCAGTAACTTGCTGAAAGGACCATAACGGCAATTTTGTGCCAAGCGGACTTCCTTGATCAGAGGTGACTACTCAGTGGACGGAACACATGCCTCGAGGGGCTGTGCACGTGCGAAGTGCGGGAAGCATTTGTTATTAGAACCGCACCGGTGATTATTTGGCCCGACGAATATGAAACTTCGACACGATCAACAGAATATGGGGCGGATTTAAGGCGTCGAGCTGTGAAAAGATTCTCTGAATCGCTGCATCTCCAACGCTCGACACCTCGACTTTGTGCCATGGCATCCACACATCCACATCCCCGCCCTCAGCGAATAATTCAGCACCACTACTGATAACCGAACCGCCGCTGCCATCGGTAGGCGCGAAGCTGAAGAGCACGACGTACGTGCCAGTCGTGAGATCACCCGCAAACTTGTGCCGGCCCGTGAGGCGACAAAGTGCCAGGCCAGAACGCAGGACAGGTGCAGAACGCGGCTTCTCAGGTGTCTTGATGACCTGAAAGATCTTCAAGATACGGAGTCGCATGTCAGACGCGACGGTTGAGTTCGACTCCAGCTTTTTCTCTATCTGACGTTTCCACAAAGCAAAGTCGGTCTGCTTAGACGAAAGATGGCGTTGAGCACGCTCCGCAAGCCCTCCACTACCGCACATGACGCAATTAGATGTTGTCGTCTGCGACCAATAAACTTGACTTACCGAATAAATTTCGGGTCCTTGCCATGTGACCGCTTTCTCGGACTCACCATGATACCCCTTTGTAACTCTCGGTCGGTAGATGAAGTAAACGTATGTCCGTGCTGCTGCAGAAATAACGCGAGTAATTCTGCCCCCGTACCATCCTTTGTAGGATCGATAGCCTGTGCAACGCTAGTGGTCAATATCGTCCTCATGTGCTTTGACGGCGATGGAGGTTGTTGGGCTGGAACAAGAGGAAGCGCGAGAGACTTGAGAGGCGCAGTCGGTTTAGAATGGGTTGGGAGGGGAGGGGGCTTTGGGATTGACCTAAGCGTTTCAGATGTCGACGTCGATGGCGGCTTTAACGTCGCCCGTAACGTCGTCAGGCTTGTAGACGCTGTTGCCTTGTCTTCAGCATGAGTTAGCTCGGTGAATGCTGGAACTCTCAGTGGCTTAAAGGCAGCGTCGCTTGGAGTTCGTGGGCGATGTCCTGTGGAGAGAGGTTTTGGTTTCTTGGTGAAAACGCTCGGCTTGCTTGGCCCAGCCTCATCAGATGGCTCTAACACGAAGGGATTCTGGGGTCGGTGAGCAGAACTAGGTTTCGAACGATGTTTGTTGCTGCCATTTTGCGGTGGTCCGACTGAAGGAGCAGATTTGAATGACGAGCCAGGCTTTGTGATGCTCTCTGGTGGCTTGTACGAGGATTTAGGTTTCTCAAACCCATCTGGCCCTCGTAGACGTGTTTTCTTGGTAGGAGGCTCCATATGGACACAGTTTGAAGTTGTTCACCCAATTGTAGATTTACTCGTATATTAGTTCAGCGAGGGACTCCAGCCCGACTGTGGTAGTGGATTTACGCGGAGGCACACAGATATAGTCTATCCTCAATCACATCTACGCTCAGTGGTGTGCTTCTGCTGCTTTCACGTCGGCCTCTAAAAACGTCAAGAATGCCTCTGCACCCTGTCCAAATTCTCCTGTTGAACTTGCGGTTGCAGACTCGCCGGCTGTAGTAGGCTCGATTGCGTCGTAGGCTGCCAACTCAGCAGCGAGATCTACCGGGAGCGTGGGTGGTTTGGGTGGCTGTATCGGGGAGAATGGCTTGACGGCGCCGAGGTGAGCATCTTTTGCCTGCGGAGACACGGTATTAAAGAATGAGCAGCTGGAGAAAGGTGCGATACATACAACGGGGGTAGGCTTGTAGGCTTTTAGTTCTCTAATATAGAGATCCTGGACGATGTCTGTACAAGCAGAACGCGTCGTGAGCTGTACTGTAGGTCGGCGAAAAGCGGAACTATATACCTCTGCGACTCACAGCCGAGGTAGAGAACGACCGTGCAGAGCAAGCCTATGATCGCAGTCAGTTAAATGGTGGACTGCCCATCTGTAAACCTGAACTCACTGCTTGTCTGAGCAAACGCAAAGAAGACATGGCTGGAGTCGAGGACCAAGTCGAGGCAAGAGTGAAGGCAGGCGTGACTGCGTGACATACCAGCGTCACGGGAAAACACGGCCTTGCAAGTCTTGACTTGGACCATTCGACATGCTCGCTCGTGTAACTCGTGCTGTCTTCACAAGACGTGTACCCCTCGGAATGAGGGGTTATAGTGGACGAAGTGAGGGTACAGTCGCTCAGACAAAAGAATTCGGGTAGGTACTCAGTTGTACGACCTTTGGTCAGTTCGTATGAGTTTGAACGTTATCCTCGTAGGAAGAAGGAAAGAGCCCATGAAGGTGATCATCAGTCTCATGCTTCGCAAGTTGGGGACTAACACCCGTCAGAGGAGTATACACGCAGACATGATGCAGAGCTGTTGCGCAAACTCAAAGCAGAGGTACGTACACTCCCGTCCCGGGTCCGTGCGATACTTATGCCGGGCCTAGGTAGAGAAAAAGAAGAAGGAAATTGTACGTTGCGTTTCACAAAAAGGAGCTGATTATTTCATCACCCGTCGAGCAAGTAAGCTGACCTCAAAATCCAGGCCGACCTCGAGGCAAAGGTGGAGAAGCATGAACAGACGAAGTAACGAAGTAGTTCTGCAGTCGTTGTGTGGCCTGTTTCTTTTTCTGTTCTGCTGTGTACCCATCCATCCTGTCTCCAATCAATCTATTCGGTGTGACGTAGTCTGTTCCGTTTCCGATTCGGTGACTGACCATGTCCCAAAACATCCGAGTGTCGTCGCTATCGAGCATGGCAGCCGACCCATCCGCTGTCATTAGAATAGCCGTCGTAAGTATGCGAATGTGCGTGTCGGGCTCGCATTTCACGGTAGCAGGCATTTGCAGCTCTCAAACACAAGCCAAGGGACCAGTCGACCGCATGTCAGTAATGCGAATGTCGTCTTCCACGCACTAAAACAGTCCTGTGTAGCATACGTCTTAGACCTCCAGTCGCAGTTTCCGCTTGTCAATCAGGCCATCTCTTCGCAGACACAAGACAGCGCTGAGAGATGGAGGGCTCATGCAATACGTCTCGAGGGCCAGCTCAAGGAACTCCAGGCAAGACAGGACGCTGACCAGCAAGGTACGCATCGCGCAGCTACTCGCTGTACGCAGTGTCCTACCCCGCCGTAGAGCTCGTCCAACTTCGTCACGACGTCGCACAAGCTCAGGCTCAGGCACACGAAAAGGAATCGTCCCTACAACCTCCCAAAAAGAAAGCCAAGAAGAAACACAAGGAACAACATCTTGACGAATCTACTTGGAAATGGGAGTTGGTGCGCACAGGTGAGAAATCAGATTTTTAGACGTTACTGTGTGTCCTATACATATGGTCTTCTACCTCCACGAACGAGTGCCTAGGCTGGTCCGACTTCATTCACTCCCTATACCCGCCTGAACCCTCGCTACTTATCGCATATACTTCTCTACGCGGGGCCCTTCTGTCGTCGTGTTACCCGTTCGCCTCGGGAACAGGCAAGGAAGTTCGTATGAAAACCTACATCCATCGTCTTGCAGACGCAATGATCCGCGCTGCTGAAGCCATATATGCGTTTCTATTCGTCAAGAATGGGGGCAAATACATGACTACTGAGACGCCTTCTTCCTCCATGGGTGGCCTACCAGCGCACTTGGCCTTAACACCTTCACCACCAACACCATCACGGGGAGGACGATACCAAGACCTAACTTGTGCCTCCATAGCTATGTGCTACCCTCTCCTCGCGTACACCCTAACCACCGCCTTCCCTGCTCTTCTTAAAGCCTGTGAGGATTTATCGTCCTCATATGCCAAGAACGACACATTGCTCGAGACAATCCCACTCCCTTCAAGCGAACGACCTGAATATCATAGAGAATTTGACTACCATCAAATCAATAGAGTCATAGACGTTCTGTTAGAACTGATCCTGCTTCCGTTCGTGCGCGCATTTCGGCCACTCTGCTGGGCACGTCTTCTTCCTGTAATTGAAGGCGCCAAAAGTGACGTTGTCGATGTCGATACCAACGCCAAGGCCAAACCTGGTGTCAAAGCTAAGGGAGGATCTAGTGCTATCGCGAAAGGTGCAGTGAAGGAGAAAGGCAAGGGCCATGAAAGACAACCAAAAAGCAATTCGAAGGAAGATGCCACAAAGACAAAGGCTGGAAATGGGAAAGCGAACCAGAAAGCCAAAGATAAGGGAACCTTTCACCGCGACACCGCGGATGCAGATCCAACGGGGAATTCTATTCCTGTGCTCTCTGGCTCTCACTCCTATCCGTCCACGGCGAATGTATGCACAGACATCCTAGCACTCCTCGGGATGGCAGCTCGTGCTCTGGAATCACTCTCTTCGTCCACCTCACACGCGGATTCACTGGCCATTGCACATGGTGTCAGTACCGGTGTCAGGGAACGTCTAGGCCTTGAGGCGATCCGCGAACTCGCCGCGCTGTATGAGGACCCAGTCGGTCATGCTACCAGTCCCTTGGATTATAGACCACCGGAAGGGAACCACCCCTGTACTCACACTACGACCACGACCACACCCTCTCTCACCCCTGCGCCGCCAAGGAATGCACAAACACATACAATTTTCGTGTGTGAGAGCACCGCCACCCGCAATGCAACGGACGCCGAGAATCCAACCGTAGTGTTGCAAGCGTCCATGCACAAGGCAAAAGAGGCCCTCCATGCGAGCCTCTTCCGGACGCTCTTCAACAAGGATACAGCATGGTACCTCTGCTCAGTTCTCCACCTCACTATTTCGTCATCAACGGGCTCGGTTATATCAGGCGATGTTTCTGGATTTGGAAGTATGCCTGTGGCCAGCTCGACTTCTCTTCGAGGTGCTGAGAATCCTCAAACGGCAGGGAGTGCATCACCTCCGTCATCGCCCCTATTGGCACGAGCTGTAATAGCAGGCATTGGGAGACTCTTGCGCCTCGCAACCCCTGAGGCCAGTATTGGCGATGCGGCGGACAATTTCCAGAAAACCAGCACCAACACACCTATCGACCCGATCATCCAAAATATCTTCTTAGCGATATGCGAGCAAACTTTGAAAGGGTATGCAGAGATGGACCCAGAACTGCTTGAGTGACAAATGAATCGGGGAAGACGTTCTCAGTCTGACTACATACGTATTACCCCTTTAGCACGCTTCACGGAATTGACAGCTTTCACGGGATTGACTGCAATAGATTTTCCAACAATTCAGAAGTTCAGCCTTCATGCATTAGGGAGGGGATACAGCCTTATACCCGTCCTTGGATGTTGGAAGGCACCCTCCTCCACCACAACGAGGTCCCTCACTATCACGTTGGAAGGGCTCTCTGGCAATGCTGTAGTAATGTAGTTGCAGGTCCACACAAAGGTGGTTAAGGGCGGACCGCCATTGGAGGGCTCGCGCCAGTATTGTGTAATCTGGAAATCCCCAACGAACATGGTCGAGCGTCCGATGTGAACATCACTGCAATTGGTCCTATTTAATTTCGCCATACCATATCTCGCCCAATGACCAGTAGTGGTTGAGAACTCCAAATGATGACAGGCCCTTGCCCACCTGTAGTGGCTGACCTTGCCGTCGTGTGCAGGCCATGGCGCGTACTAGTAGCTGCAGGAGTGCCACAGCCCACGTGCCCTATGTCTGTAATATAAACTCTTGAGGTCGTCTAGATTGCCTTTGTTATACATCCGAGTCCAACCAGACACCAATTGTGTTTACTAGGTGTACCACAGAGGTAAGCAGCATCGATCATACTCCATCCTCTTGGCTGACCCCCCCCCCCCCCCCGTCAGATCACGCATCAACCCGAAACGTCTTATACTCCTGGTAGTCTTCTATGAATTTGGCTACAGAAGGAGCTGAAGTGCGTGAAGCGTAGGATCACCCACACCATGATTGCTCAAACAAAATAAAGGTAGGAAACACAGTAACCCCCAACGCAGGGCCCAGAAACACAGTACGCAATGTTCAGTTTTACAATTTGTGGCCTGTTTTTTGACGCCACATGTTTGCGTAGCCTCATCGTGTTGATGGATATGCCGACTGCGTGCAGCAACGCTGCCTCTATCGCAATGCAGACGGGAAGCACTGTATGCAACTGATCAGCTGTGGCGCTGTTCCGGCTCATTTCGAGAGTCATGGAGTAAAGGCCATTTGCCGTATGTCGGCGGTTACCTGTCGATGGGACGGGTGCTTGGAAAATTGTTTGCGTCATAACTTTGTACGCCACATCCGCGAGAAACACCTCGGACACACAAGGAAATCAACTGTCCACAACCCCGAGAAAGGTCGCCGACATCATACTTCCTTGCGAAGGGAGACTGATGGTGCAAGGTCCCAAAACGAGGTAAGTAACATTCGCTTTATTTATGTGACCTGTTTTTACGCCATTTCTCCGTATAGCCTCGGGTTGATGAGCACGCCGGCAGCACGCCACAACTGTGCAAATATCGGGATCCCGACGGTGAACCCTGTATGCAGGAGATCACATATGCCACCGTTCCGAAACACTTCGCGACCTGTCATGGGGTTAAAGCGATATCCCGCGAGCAGCGAGTTACTTGCCGGTGGGTTGGTTGTGTGGAAAAACAGGTGCGGCGACACAGTTTTGTCCGTCACATCAGGGAAAAGCACCTTGGGTACACGAGGGGATCAGCTCTCCGAAAGTTCGGAAAAGCTCGCTGACAACACATCTCGGCATCGTCTTCCACGGAGAGGCTGATACATTCGTTGCAATGTGAGATGGCCATTGATTATGCCATTAGCTTGGACATGACCGTTACGTATAGTTGACTAACTGGACTATTAGATAAGAACATCTGTCGGGGGTTAAGAATGCACACCACAGGAGTCCTTGTGTTCGTTTCCGTCTCCGTTTTCCATTCTTCAAACGCACAGTCGAGGAGTGGTCTCGTCCATCACGATATCAGCGCCAAGGGACCAGCCCGATTTCTTCATCCATACACTGAACAGGTAGGTGGTGTGCACGATACGTGTGTAGCTACAGAGAAGACGACCTACGGTACAACATGCGTTGCCCGACTTGGTGGATGTATGCACAGAGGAATCACTCTCGTCGTCCACTTCGCAGGTGATCTGGATGGTCATTACACATTGTGTGAGTACGGGTGTCAGGGAACGTCTGGGCCTCGAGGCACTGTGTAGCGTCCCAATCGGAAATGCTAACGGTTCCTTGGATTATAACTACATACTCGAAAAAAATTCCTGCACTCCACACATGCAAATAAAACCGCATCCTCTCCTTACTCCTGTTCCGCCAAGGAAGGCGCAAACACCTCATATGGCTTTCGGATAGCATCGCTACCTGCAACACAACGAATACCGAGAATCCAACCGCAGTGTTGCAATCGACCATGCACAAGGCAAAGGAGACCCTCCGTGCGAACCTCTTCCGGACGCTCGCCGCCAAGGATGCAGCACGGTACCTCTGCTCTCACCCCGCTATTTCGTCACCAACGGACTCGGCTATATCATGGACTTGGAAATATACCTGTGGCCGGTTCGACTTCTCTTCGAGCTGATGACAACCCTCGGACAACAGGGAATGCATCACTGTCGTCACTCTTGTTGATGTGAGCCGTAGAAGCGGGCACCGGAAGACTCATGCGCATTGCTACTCCTGAGGCTGGTGTTGGTGATACGGTGGGCAATTGTCACAAACCTAGTCCTAGCTCCCTCATCGACCCCATCACCCAAAACATCCTCTTAGCAATATGTGAGCAAGCTTTGAAAGGGTATGCGGAGATAGACCCAGAACTGCTCGAGTAACAAATGAATTGGAGAAGGCATTTACAATCTAACTCATTCCCCCTGACACTCTTCATGATATTGAAAGTTCCTTGAGCAAGCAAGTTAGGGTGACCGTTAATTTCCAAGGTGTATGATACGTGAAGGGGAGTTGGGTTATACTGGTTCCCGGGCTTGAGCTCCCGGCCCCCCTGTTGAGGGCTGAGGCCTGGAAAACACTGCCACTGGCGCTGAAAAAGATGTTAAGCAACTACATAACTTATAACGAAGCCAAGTGGAACCCTCCATGTGCGTTACTGACTGTCCAATTTTTGCCGTTCTCGGAGGCAGTGCAGGGCGGTGTCTGGCCGTACTTTGAAGTGTCTGGGAGGTAGACTTTTGCAGAAGCGGTCATGTAAGATGAAAACAAGCCTAAGAGCTACATATGTGGTTGGAATCGCTAGTACTACATCGCCTGAACACGGAGAAAAGTCACCGCTTCGGTGTTTTGGGACTAAAGTGTTATTGGGTGCAACAGCTCGCTGTCAAAGTTTCCCATGCAACGATAACCGTGAGAAAGGTTGGTTATAGTGCGGCCAGCAACTCCGTTACCTCGAATGAGCTAATATTTGTCAACTATATGATTCCTATTAACCACAATGTCACGGTCCTTGTTCATGACTCGAACTCACTCAGATGTTTCCAGTGTACAGAGTCCGCAGAGCCGTGGATGTATGGGTATTCTCGGTGAAGTGTGCCGAAATAGTAGGGGGGTTGCCTCTGGACGCAGGTGTACTTGACCATTTGTTTTGCTCTGCCGCCCGAGCATCAAGCCATGACCGATGTTTCGATATACCTGCGCCTGCGTCAAGCATAATCCTAGCAACGAAAGGTGTTGTTCATCAACTTATACCGATACCATGTGCAGAATGACATTGCCTACCGTCGTAAGTGAGCCAGATCATCATCCAGGTACACAGGAGATGTTTTCTTGATAATATTCCCCATCTCAAGCAAACATCCGCGAAATCGGCCGCGAACTTCCAGGGCCATCGAGTTCCTTTCCCTCCGAATGTAGCTCACAACCTAAGCTATCTCAAATGGTATTCACGCAAAAATCAGAGTTGACTTGCCTCTGGTAATAGTTGCTGCACTTCTGAAAGGATTCCACACGAAGAGACCCATAAGATCTAACAACAAACGAACAACCAGCCAGGGTTGTCATAGCTTGACAACGAACTTACCTTTCCTGTTATATCTTCCTCCAGTGCCCGCTGTTCGTCTTCGTCCTCCATTGCATCGAGTGCCGTTTGGAGAGCCGTAATCTCCCGCAGCGTGGAGTGGATGTCTACCTGCCTGCGTACGGCGTTCGATGGACCTTGTGCACGTTAGAAGGTGCTGACTTACCGCGCATAGGCAGTGTCCTGGATGCCATGCCTGAAACCGGAACATAAATATCGTAGAAAGAGAAGACAATACGAAAGGAAAGGAAAGAACTCACGTTTCATCCTGAGATGCATTGAGGATTGCAATATAGATGTGCTCGAGTAACTTTTCATGACTGGAATCACCTTCAAGACCGCTCCACTGATTGTAATGCTTACCCTGACACTGAGCGTTTGTGATATAAACTTTACCTCACGCCGCGCCTTTTGTCTCGCAACAAGATATCTACGCCGTTCAACCAGTTCGTTAAGGGCTTCGCACTTCCCGAGTAAGGGAGGGACCACTACTTCATGGCTTGGGTTCTTCGCTGCTCTGGATTTGAAAGGATTCCACGGCGATGGGGCTAGGCACACAAATAAACCGTCTCCTACGTCCGATGTAAGTTCGCAGAAGAATATGTTTCACGTGACAGTCTGGTCTTTGACAATACCTGCAGAGGTCTCACTGCGTGGCTGCGTTTCGACCATCAAAGGGAGCTTTTCAAAGAAGGTTATCTGGCCGACCTAGGTTTTGATGGTAAGAACAGGCTGACGTATTGAAAGAGTAAATACGTACATATTCTTTCAAGTTCTCGAAACCGAACATATCTGAGAGGAACTTGACTGCTTCATGCTTCGCCCGTCTGCTCTGTTGTCATCATAAGCATGTACTCATGCACTTGGTACAGTTGTCCAACTCACCGCAGGTCTGTGGCCAGCTTCTGCTCGATGCTGTGGATCACGTGGTGGATCAGATAAGTCCAGTGTCTGCAACATGTTTAATCGGAACTGATACCAGATTTACCAATGCGTAAAAGTGTTCCCTCAAAACAAAAGTCAGCGACAGAATACGACACGAACTCCAATGGACTCACCGGATAGATCGGAATTGTTCTCTTCTCTGTGCGCAAACCGGTTCTCGTCGCCAAACATGTGGGCTAGCAATGGTACATAAAGGAATAAAGGTGGGTGGCGCCGTGGAGGGAACACCAGTCCCAAATGCCGAGGCTGATGCTCAAGATCAAAACGAAGGCAAGACACCACCCTTGAAAATGCTCATCACCTTTCGCCTTCCGACCTCTCTCTCCCTCCGCTCTATCAAGATCCGAGCATTGTATGATTGTTGTCACTAGATGTTTGCCCGCGAGACGAATAGAAAAAGCTTTCAGCAGCAGCACGAGTTGTTGATTGTTCGGAAGTGAGAAGCCCTCCGGTGAATGAAGTGTCAGGCGCTCGTCAAACTCCACTGTAAGCCCTTGATCCTGCCGACGATGCAATACATCCGCATCGCTGGATACGCAGGAAGCCACGGGGCGATAAGCTGGGTCGATGTCATCTACCTGCATGTCTTTAAATATGTTGCCGTAAGGTCTGAAGGTGCCGTTCGAGTAGTCGCCGTAGTCACCCAGCTGATTGTAATTATCAGGCTTGCCGCAAGTGCGAGGACAAGTATTATGACCCACTGCAATCTTTTGATCTGCACATTGATAAACCCACACAAGCTTTCCATCCAGCTTCAACCCACGAAATTTATGAACCGCCTTCATGAACCCCGGCATATCAAGACCGTCTCCATCATTCTACGGTCATATGGATGATCAGGGCTGCACTCAAGTAGAGAAGAAAGTACTAACAGACGCAGAAATGCGTTCGTGCGGTCCAATACAACACCCGGAGCATCGTTGGACGTCAACCATCACGTTGGTCTGCATGTTCCCACTGTACCAAACAACTCTCGCATCCCAAATAGCCCGTGGAAGGTGAGCACACTTGACGCCGCTGGCAGAGCAGTCTTCAACAGGTGCACTCCACAACCTATCAGATACTTTCTTGGCAAAGTCTCTCCATGGGACCTCGTCAGTTGCAGAATAATCGTCATAGGCCACGTGCACGTATCCCTGGCCAAGGTAGAAGCCGATGGCAACTGCAAAGCGAGATTTAGCGCCGTCGTTGGCATAAACTATGACTACAAGATCATTTGTGAGGGATGAGACTGTGATAGTATCGCCTGTGAATTCGCGCGGGAAGGTGCCGTGTCGAGAGAAACGGTGATACAATGTATGCCTATCGTCGACTTTGAAATGGTGGTACTCCTTAGTGTCTGGAGCTGAGTAAGCGAGACAGAGTGTCCTAAGTTCCGGACCCCAGTGTCTAAAGCGCCTACCGGAACAAATCCGGTAGGAGCTTTGAAGTGGGTCGGGAGACGTCAAGTCAATGGTGATGAGATCTCCATAGTAGTCTCGACAGGCCAATATGGCTCGGAAGACCGACGCAGAGTCACAATGGGGTATGACAGGCAAGCAAATTTGAATGCTACGTGCATCACGGAATATGGCAGGCCGTCGCTGAAGTAGTTGTTGGCGAAATGTACGGTCGCGAGACCTTACGAGTCTACCGCTGCCCGGGTTCCTGGTCATGCTAAGTCCGCTCTGGTAGTAATCCATTACTTCGTCGACGAACTCGTCAAGTTCCACCTTTTCGATGTCGTGGCAACCGCGAAAGTGGTTCGGGTCACCTGCTAGGGCGCCGCCAAGACAGCTAAACTGTCCCTTGGAATTCCATGCGAAGATGCTGTGATCGTTGAATTTCCCTATGATTTCCAGCTGCAACCTGTGAAATGCCTTTTCCTTCTCATCATAGTATATCGGCATGTTCACGCCAAACAGTCCCAACAGCGAATATGCACGGTCCTCCACTCGCGTCGTCTTCCGATCCGCTGCCCAAGACATGATTTGTGCAACGCAGAAACGCCTCGAAATCTCCGAGGCGTCCTTCAAAACATCAATAGGAATCTGGGTAACTTTCTCTAATGTGTTTGCAAGATTCTGCTTGCCCCCGATGTGAACCCAGTCCTTGTTGAAGAACTCGACTTGTTTCGGAGCGACGAGTTCTTGGAGCGTCCAGCCCCGCGAGAACCACTCTGGCCAGCCGTTGAACTTGGCAAACTTGCTGAAGTCTTGCTTAGTAGGAAATATCCGGTCTTCTACGTCGTCGAGATATGCGTAGCATTTCTGCGATTTACTGTACCACCGATACATTGATCTAATAGCCCCTGACAGCTCAGGCTCGTTCCGTTTGTCGATGCAGCACGTATCGATCCAAATCCACATGTAGCCGTCCTGCAGGGCCTGTTCGCAGCTCTTTATGATCTTCTCGTAGCCAGAGCGCCGCTTGATTTCATTCCTGTCAGGCTCGGCCATTCTCATGAGCGATGACATTTCATCATAATCGACCTCGTCTCTCCAACGATGCGACAGTATCGCATATTTTGTGGTCCCATCATCATGTTCCTCGAAGATTTTAATTTGGCGCCCAGCTCGCTGGGTGTCCTTTTCCCTGTGAAGGACGGCTTCCGCGCTAAGCAGGCGCATCTTTCTAAGATGTGAGCGGCAAGCTCAAGGCTGGATCACCAACTACAAGTCATCACACGTACTGTCTATTTGTCCGAGATTACAAAGTGGCTCTTCAAATGGTGTCCTTCGTGCGGTCTGGGGATAAATGAGCGAAGGATTCGAGACGACTTCCATTGCGGGTTGTGGGTCTTAATAAAAAGTACACATATCAAACACGAGGCCCGGTCTTAATGCTATTCAGCGGAGCGTTGGGAAGCATCATACTCATGAGCGCTCGACGAGAACATTTGGCAAGTATTATCATGTGGCTCAGTTTACTTAGTTTACGTATGGTTAGTCTGGACACCAGCCTTGGACGGATCTAGTATCCAGACTAACTTATGCTTACCATGAGGCAACAAAGTCCTTCCAGGTCTGTTCTTTTGTTCTTCCTCCGGCCCACTGACTAGGTATCATCCCTACCCTGCCATCCCCAACCAGCATACATGGCAGAGCAGGAATAACATGTTGTGGGGTAATGGACAGTGGTCAGAATAGCACTGATTACAACGAATTTTGAATCGCCGGATCATTACAGCACAATTATCATTGGTGGGTATGTACATCTGCACACTGCTGACCATCTTGTTGATCTGGTCTGAATAAGATTTTTCCGCAGTGAGCCCTACAATCAATAAGTCAGAGATATCTGTTTTCAGATAGTGTCATTTCAAGTTCTCTGGACTCGGCTCAGAAGCGTTGGGCAACAGGAACTCTTGTCCACTTGGTTTGCTCCACAGCACATGCAGCAAGCCATAGCGCATGTTTCGATATGCCTGCACCTGCATCAAGCATAATTCTGGAACATTAGACGTTCAGTAATTTGTGTCGATACGACGCGCAGAATGACATGGCCTACCGCCGCAAGTGAGCTAGATCATCGTCCGGGTCTGTATGGGATGTTTTCTTGACAATCTTCCCCATCTCATGCAGGCATTGGCGAAATCGATCTCGACCTTCCAGCGTCATAGAATCCATTTCCTTCCGAAGGTGATTCACAACCTATGCCATCTCAAATGATATTCACACATAAATCAAAGTTCACTTGCCTCTGGTAATCGTTGTTCCACTTCTGAAAGGATTCCACGCCAACAAAACCATAAGATCTATTAATAGCGACAATCAACCTTGAGTTGTTATGGCTTCAGGATATCCTTACCTTTCCTGTTATATCCTCCTCCAGTGCTCGCTGTTCGTCTTCGTCCTCAGTTGCATCCAATGTCGTTTGGAGAACCGCTATCTCTTGCAGCGTGGAATGGATGTTTACCCAACTTGTGTCGTCCAAGAGGTCTACTGTGCGTTGGTTGTCCCTCAGGTGAGCAGTATCTCGGATGCCATGTCTGAAACCAGAGCGTAAATACCGTAAAAGGAGACAATACGGGGTAAAGAAATTCACGTCTCATCCTCAGACGCATCGAAGATAGCAGTAGAGATGTAATCGAGTAACTTTTCGTGAATAGAGTTAGTTTCGATTTCCTTTTGGGTGATAGTAACACTTGCCCCGACACCGAGTGTTTGTGATATGGACTTCACCTCGTACCCAGCCCGATCCCTCGCAGCAAGATATCGAGGCAAGTCGACCAATGGGTCAAAAACTTTACACTTCTTGAATAAGGGAGGTACCACCATTTTAAAAACCGGGCTCCGCACTACCCTGGTTTTGAAAGGATTCCACGACAATGTCGGTGCAGGTGCCGACGGACCAACGTTAGCACGGACCAACAGGCTTCTATTGTCCGATTGTGATTCCATCATCAGGGAGAGCTCTTCGAAGAACGTTATCTCGCCGACCTATATTTTGAGGGTGAGAACTGGCTGAAGTATGTACTCGAAGGGTCAATACATACATAATTTTTCAAGTTCTCCAAACCGAATACACCTGAGAGGAACTTGACCGCACCATGCTTCATCCACTTACTCTGTTATCATTATAAGCACATCTTCGTGGCCCCGTGATGTTGTTCAGCTCACCGCAGAACCATGACCAGCTTCGGCTCCTATAGACCGATGCTGTAGATCACGTGATGAATCAGACAGACTCGCAGCATTGTTAATTGAAACAGATACCGGTGCTATAGTGTAAAAGTTTTGTCTGTACCCAAAACATGTCATGAGGGATGCAGTAAAACATAATCAACCGACCCACCGAATGCTTCTGAAATGTCCCCTTCTTCTTACGCTGGGAGGTTCTCTTCGCCAAACCTGTGGACTCGCAATGGTGCAGAAAGGGACACAACTGCTTGGCTTTGTGAAGGAATCGTTACTCTTAGATGCCGAATCTGATACTCAAGGTCAAAACGGAAACAAGACACAGTCCTCAGCGAACATTCACCACTCTCCGAGTCTCTCCGTCCTCCCTCCCTGTCACCTCTGGAGATGTCCGAGCATTGTATGACTGTTGTCACCAGATGTTTGCCTGTAAGATGCGAAGAGAATGCTTTCAGCAGCAGCACGAGTTGTTGATTTGTCGGAAGTGAGAGGCCCATCGGTGAATAGCACGTCAGGCATTTGTCCTGAAAGCGAAATTCGATTGCAAGGCTGTCGTGTTTGCCATGCAATACATTGGAGTCACTGGATACGCAGGAGACCACTGGGTGGTAAGCTGGGTCCACAGGGTCGATGCCAAGTGCTTGCATATCTTCAAATATGTTACCACAAGGTTCGAAAGTGCCGTTGGAATAGGCACCATAGTCACCCAGCTGATTACATCAGGCTACTGAAAGTATGAGCGCGTGTATTATGACTCACTATAGTCCTTTGATCAGAACACTCGTAAAACCACACGTGCTTGCCATCTAGCTTCAACCCACGAAAATTGTGAACTGTCTTCATGAACCCTGGCGTATCAAAAGTATCCCAGTCATTCTATGGTTATACAGATGGTTAGATCTGCATTCAAGAAGAGAAGAAAGTACTAACAGACGCAGCAATGCGTTCGCGTGGCCCAATACAACACCCAGAGCATCGCTCGACGTCAATCATCACGTTGGTCTGTTTATTCCCACTGTACCAAACAACTCTCGCATCCCAAATAGCCCGCGGAAGGTGAGCACACTTGACACCACTGACAAAACAATCTTCAATAGGTGCACTCCACAACCTATCAGATACTCTCTTGGCAAAGTCTCTCCATGGGACCTCGTCAGTTGCAGAGTATTCGTCATAAGCCACGTGCACGCGTCCTTGGCCAAGATAGAAGCCAACAGCAACTGCAAAGCGAGATTTGGCGCCGTCATTGACATAAACTATGACTACGAGATCATTTGTGAGGGATGAGACTGTGATAGTATCGCTTGTGAACTCGCGCGGGAAGGTGCCGCGTCGGGTGAAATCGTAGTATGACGCATGTCTGTCGTCGAGTTTGAAATAATGGTACTTCTCGGTGTCCGGAGCCGAGCAAGCGAGATACAGAGTCCTAAGCTCCGGACGTGAGTGCCGAAAGCGTACAGCAGCAGAAATCCTGTAAGAGCTTTGCAGCTCAGGGGATGTCAAGTCAATGGTGATGAGATTTCCATAGTAGTCTCGACAAGCCAATATGGCTCTGAAGACCGATGAAGAGTCGCAATGGGGTACGACAGGCAAGCAAATTTGAATGCCCGCATTCGTGACGATGAATAGCTCCGAGGAAAGCTGTTGGCGAAGCAGTTGTTGACGAAGAGTAAAGTAGCAGGATCTCAGACAAGCGAATTTGCGGCTGGCGGCCATGCTAGGTCCGCTCTGGTAGTAATCCATTACTTCGTCGACGAACTCGTCAAGTTCCACCTTTTCAATGTCATGGCAGCCGCGAAAGTGGCTCGGGTCACCTGCTAGGACGCCGCCAAGCCAGTCAAACTGTCCCTTGGGATTCCATGCGAAGATGCTATGATCGTTGAAAGTCCGGATGATTTCCAGCTGTAACCTGCGGAAGGCTTTCTCCCCCTCCCCGTACAATATAGGCATGTTCACATCAAACAAGCCTAACAACGAATATGCACGGTCCTCCATTCGCGTCGTTTCTCGATCCGCTGCCCAGGACATGATTTGCGCAACGCAGACAGTCCTCGGGATCCGGCCATGCTTTAAAACACCAGGAGGAATGTGTGTAATTTTCTCCAACATGCCCGCAAGATCCTGCTTGCCTCCGATGGGAACCCAGTCCTTGTTAAAGAATTCGACTTGTTTCGGAGCGATGAGTTCTTGGAGCGTCCAGCCTCGCGAGAACCACTCTGGCCAACCGTTGAACTTGGCAAACTTGTTGAAGTCTTGCTTAGTAGGGAAGGTCGAGTCTTCGACGTCGTTGAGATATGCATAGCATTTCTGCGATTTACGGTACCACCGATACATGGAATTGACGGCCTCTGACAGTTCAGAACTTCTCCGCCTATCGATGCAACACGTATCGATCCAGATCCACCTGTAGCCATCCCGTAGGGCTTGTTCGCAAGTCTTGATGATCTTCTCGTAGCCAGCGCGCCGCTTGATTTCGTTCCTGTCAGATTCAGTCATCCTCATGAGCCGAGCCATTTCATTGTAGTCGACCTCGTCTCCCCAACGGTGCGACAGTATCACATATTCTGCGGTCCCGCCACCACACTCCTCGAAGAACTTAGTGTGGGGTCCAGCTCGCTGGATGTCCTTTTCGATGTCGAGAACAGTTGCTACATCGAGTAGGCGCATCTTTCCAAGAGGTGAAAGGCCGGGTCGGCAACTATAGAGCACTATACTCACTGTCTAGGACTACTCCGTGGTCGCTATAGAGGGTGGTTCAGTGAAGAAGAAACGAAGGCTCGGGACAGCTGGTTGCTGGTTACGGGCATTCGGACACCACATCAGGCAACAGTTTCGAATCCCGACCCCCGATCCCTGAGTTACTTATATAGATAACGGATCTTTCATTCTCCCCTCGCTTCTGCGACGCTCGTCGAACCCACGCGGCGAGACGACACACGGCCTTCCCGCCTGCTTGATCGTATCTACAGTCTCCGTTGCGTTCCCGATCACTTGCACACTATTATCTTTACATAATTCCCAACGCTGTGCGCCTTTTCCTCGATTGGCTCCATTCGGCAAGTCACTCCCTCTATGCACACACTCGCTACTGATCTTACCCAAGGTCCTCCCCTATTGTGTACATTACTTGACCAACAAAGCTGGTCTATTCAATTTGACCCCAGTCATTACTATAATGGTCGGCTCGGTGAAATGTTCAGTTTTGTCGTCATTTACCGACTTCTCTCAGGGCAATAATCTTTCAATCCTCAATAAATCCACTGTATATTCAGAAGATGTGAAGATAGTCGCGTAAGTTACAATCGTGGCATACAAAACAAACCCCAAAATCTCGCCTACAGGTTGATAGGGCCCAAAGGCTGCGGAAAAACCTCGGTGAGATTGGACGAGCGCCGGGTCAACCGTCCTAACTATTGGATAGCTAGTGCGCAGGCTCACGAGGGATTCGTTACACCAAACTAGCCGGAATCCAGTGTCTTCAACACGTCGGGTCACCCACACGGAGATAAATTTGCGGGGTATCCGCATCGTTGTTCTTGACACTCCTGGCATCGGTTATCTCGGGAACTGTAAAGAGTTCTCCGAGCGTGATGTTCTCGATCTCGTAGAGAGCTGGTTGCGAAAACATAGGTGAGAATGACATCATAATGAACTACACCCTGCGATTCAAGCCGTCGCAGACGCAACGCTCGCCTTACTGGGATACTGTATGTGCAAAACACAGATAGACGGGTCATGCCCACCATCGACTCCTTTCGTGAAATTTGCGAGTCGAATGACTTCTACTCGTCCGTCGTGCTAGTCGCAACCGGTAACCTAGACAAGCTCCGGGAGCTTGAAACCGGTATATGGTCGGAGGTACTGTCCCGAGGGGCGAAGGTGTTCCCCTTTACGGGCACGAAGGAGTCCGCGGAGAAAGCCGTAGCGCTAGTCGCACATTAATTCCCATCGCCCAGCGATGAGCAAAGTCCACGGTAGTAGTTATCACTATCAATGGAAGAACATTACAAATACTCACCTACAAACCTCCGGACTGCGCCCGGGTCGAAGGTTTTACCGTGCTACTGCTCAGTGAGTGACACTGAATGGATACAAGGAACCCTTAAAATTCGAACTTTCCAGTTACATTGTGCGCCAGGCCTCAGTGACTGACAGTACTTTCAATGTTCATTCTCTTGGACGATAAACCCAGGAAGGCACTTACAGTCGTCCAAGTGCTATGCCTCATTTAGAAAAACTGAACGGCACTGCGAAGGTCTTTTGTGTCATTCCAACTGTTTAGAAGTTCAAAGGTTCATTGGTGAAACCTAAGGATGATGGCAAAGGATACGCTTACATCCGTCTTTGGGAGGCACCCTCGGAATCATCATACGGGCCCTCCACGCCACCATGGCGGGCACGAGCCAATGTTTATATAATTGTGGCATGGAGGCCCTCCTGAGAAACCCCGAACGGGAACTTCATTTATCCGAACAACGCGTAATTATATTACTTATCGTGAGTTGGAGGTCACAT